GCGTAATTACTGGCAGCGCGAGCCAGTTACTTAAAGTAACTTATAGTAACTGGCTCGCGCTGCCAGTAATTACGCCGCGGGATATTCTGGGCACAGACCGTGATCATAAGACATACCGCGAATAGAAAATAGAATTTAGAAAATAGACATTGCATGTGAATTAAGCCACAGACTCCTAAAATGTTTCTGCTTAAAAAAACGCCTCTGAAGAGCCGATTTCGCACTGTAATATCGCACAAAAAGCAAGATTTGATTGAAAACGAATGTTACAAATCATATCAAATTCATTAGGCCTTAGTTATAAGCCTAAGTGAAATAAATTAAAATAACATCAAAATAAGTACATGATAATGCATATTATGATCCTACTTTTCAACCCATGGGTTAGAATTGCAAATAAATAAATAAACCTAAAAATGAAGCATATATCATTTTTTATTATTAATTTAAATTACATCCATTGCACTTCATTTCAATCTTACCAACACTATCATGTACAAATTCCCGGAGGAGTTCGGTAGCTCTCGTGTTGCCTTGCTCGGACAGTATCGTCAACCAATCAACCGTGGTTTTGGCATTTTCTGCGGGTATTTCACCATTCTTCACTTTCACCAAGACACCTTTGGCCTCGTCCAGACGCCCCTCTGTCTCTTTCTCTAGCGCTGATGCCATTCTGTTTGGACGTAATAACATAGAATGAACACAACTATTTGGTTTTATCTGTTTATGAACTCACAATTTTTCGCTTGCAAAGCCGCATTTTGCAACCAAAGCCTAAGTATTTTGCAACCACGCATTTTTTAACCATAATGAATTTTCAGTGACCAAAAAAGTGTATAAGGAGAAGAAGAAAAGATAATATTTTGCAATGTTAATTTTTGTTATACATAAACAGTCTATAGGTCTATCCTTATCAGAGCACGACGGACGGTAGGCCTATAGCTACAATGTACCTACATTTGAGTTCCTGCGGTCGGACCACTAGAATTGTTTGACTTTGGAGTGGGCTGCGGCAAGTTTCCAGTCTTATCTGCCCGAAAAGGCAAATGCCTAAAAAGAGTTTATGTCAAGGGGAAAAATAGTGCATTTCTTGTCAAGATTATCTGGATTTTAAAGGAGTATCGGTCAATAACTTTGGTTTAATATTCAGTAGGCCTAAAGCTGATTCTTGCCTTTTAAAAAATTAGGTTGCAAAATTTGTTTGGTTGCCTAATGAGGCTCCACACGCTCACGGATTTATCACTGATTATGCTTTATTATTGAAAACAATGAATAGGGCCTACACAAGAGACGTAAATGACTACGGTTCTTCTTTTCACAAGAGACGTAAATGACTACAGTTCTTCTTTTCAGTTAAAAAAGAGAATAAATATTTAAATATAGGCCCTACCTCTACGGAGATTAATAAATATACATAGATGAATGAATAGGCCTAAAATAAATAATTACTTAATAAATGCTATCAGAAGCCCCTTTCTATTTTAAATTGCTTCTTTTTCTAAAGTAAAAAATCCAACATGTCACTTAAAGTACTGGAGTAGGCCCTACCAAGAAAATCCAAATCATATTTTGATACATTAAAACAAGCAAACTTGTTTTCGGAATTTCTTCAACACTGGTCGTCAACACAGAACTAAAGCGGTGAATATTTAAAATTCAATCTTTTTGCGTTCTTTTATCTCTTCTCTTTCTCTCTAATCCATATATACGGGCCATAGAACTACAAGGACAGAGAGACATACAGAGACAGACTATTGTTTCAGTTGAGCAGAGCAGGAGCATCCCGCGCACCAAGCGCAATTTAAAAAAAATGCTCCACATCCCCATCGTCACTTCCGTTGTTTATTTCCATTTATTTCCCCACGAGAAATAACCAAGGACACTCGAAGATTTAGCACGTCATGCTCGCCAAAGGAAGAAGCTTACAAGTGCCACATTCGCCGTGTAAACGCTGGCCAATACCCGGTCAATCTTGATTATCTCTTGGCGTTAATAAATCCCGGAAATTGAGTATCGGGAAACGAAACCCAGCATGAAAAGACAGCTACGCTAAGCTTAATTTCTTAACACTGAAGCTGCCAATAAAGCAGTAATTTAAGTGTCACGTTCATTACTTAATAGAGATAATCTGTTGTGGGCAGTGAAATATGAATCACTGCTAAGATTCGAGTTACTTACCTGGAATACCTTCAGCTTTCAGTAAAGCGGTATCATTCATCTGAGGGCACCACACCTGAACACGTTATAGATTGACCTAGTTTCCAAATTATTTTTGTAATGACCCAGGTCGACTCTGTTATGATCCAGAAATAACATGTGTGTGATAATAAATGTTTTTCTTGCTTTGTCATTTTACTCTCTTTTTTCTCTTTTCCTCCTCTCTCAATCTCTTTAAGGTGGGTGGGGGGACATGGGGCTGTTTAATGATGCAATGCACATATATATATATATATATATATATATATATATATATATATATATATATATATATATATATATATATATATGAAAAATTAATATTCTATTTATCTCCAACAGAAAAGAGGGCCAAGCAGATTGATTAATATTACACAGTTTATGTCATAGGAAACAGTAACAGATCCATTGGCAGGGGTGGTGGATCTGCACCCTTAGTCTAGATCAAAAAGGTCCACTGTAAATTTAACTGAATTATAATAGGTTCTATTTAATTTTGTAAGTTGGGTCAACTGAGTGTGTGAAAATCAAGGCTCAGTTTTTCAGACCCCTACCACCCCTTTGTAACTTCAGACTTGTGCACCATACAAGTCTTCAACTAATTACCCTTCAGGGGCAGATACAGGATTATTTGAAAGGGGTGAATGGTCTGCAGATGTGAAGGCCCCCCCTGGCCTGAGGTTTGGAGCCTAATGATGGGCCTCGAAAATTTTTCGTATATTAGAGGACGAATGATGCCATTTGGTACGGTTTAGAACTATGATATTCTGGTAGTCAAAATTCAAGAGGGACTATATTGGTATTATTTTTTTAGAAATTGAAGGGGGGGGGGGGGAGAGGGTCAGGACCCCCCTGACACCCCCACAAATGCACCACTGCACCTAATATTTGTCCCCACACACACACACACACGCACACCTCAAAAAAGGGGGCAAAACTCAAAATATAAATTGACACTTTTTTATTACATTACATTTATTTAACAACAATAACAGTTACAATATCATCACAGACACAGCATTGTATAAGTACATGTCATTGATCACAACAACCATGAAATGCCTTAATTGGCAACCAAATGAATTATAAAAGCTTAATATTTAATTGCAAGAAAAATCTCTTGTGTACAGCAACTAAACATACATACTAGATATATACATTCAACCAAAAAATTTGGAATTTTCTGTTTTGGTGTACCTGGTTACAATGTTTTTCATTGTCTCCAGTGTAATGCTTAACATGTTGATTTTTAAAAAGTAAATAGTTTCCTAATACCCCCGTCACACTAGAGGCGGAATGAGCAAGAATGACATCGGAAAGACAATTCTTTGTGTGTTCCCGGATATTCAAAGAGCATTCTAAAAATTCCGAGTGCATTCCAAATATTTTTACCCATTCTTGTGGCCGGCCCGAATGTTTTGCTCATGTTAAAAACTTTCGAAGTGCGTTCCAAGTGGAAAATTATTGAATGGCATTTGAATGGTATTCTAACTGCACTATGACTGCATTCTAAATATTCTCACGGCATTCTGACAGCATACGAAACACTCTGATCACATTCGAGGGAGAACCAAAATGGCAATACACTTCAAATCCTGCTAGAATGAACCAGAATGCAACTCAAATGCATCTCGATCTTATTTCAGACATGAATCAAACTACAGTCGTATGGCATTCGAAGTGTATTCTAAATATTCTGACTGCATTCTGACAGCATTAGTGATATTCCTAGTTTTCTAACTACATTCCCTGAATGTAGTTCAAATTTTTTAATTTAGATATTCCGACTGGCTCTGCTTGATTCCTGCTCATTTCGAATAAGTGTGACAGGGGCTTAAGCAAGTCTAAACCTGCTCGTTTTTTTTTCCTGTGAAACAAGACATTTTGACCCATCTTGCATCACATGACTGTGACTTGTATCACCAACCTAAGAATATTTTTCCTTAAGTTTTTGTCAAAGATGACTGCAGTTGGGAATCAATTCCCTAACTTGGAATGGGAGTTAAATATCAAATAATAAAAAGTTATTACTGTGATTAATTATATCATTTGCCTAAGAAAGTTTTTTTTCCCTTTTTTGTCATAGATAACTGGAGATGGAAATCAATTCCCGAACCTGGACAAAACTCAAATTATATCAAATAATAAAAAGTAACATATCATAAGTTTTCTCGAAGTATTATATGTACAAATGACAATAAGGTATCATTTATAAGCACCATGATGATGGCAATTATGCCAATCTAAATTTTTATATAATTAAACACCTCAAATGCAGTCCAACATTAACGTATAATATTATGTGACCTACTTGATAACACAGTCAGCAGGGCCACAGACATGACATTGCTTCTATTCTCCTTAAAGGGATAACAACTTTTCAGATGGGATTCAAAATTCCACATTAATTACATTGTAAACATAGCACAAAAATATTATAAATTCTGTTTTACCACCAAAACAGTGGTTACTGCCATTATCCTGAAACCTGTGCTTTCTTAAAAGATTTTTACAAAAACCCTAAAAAATAATTATTATAATAATAAAAATCCACTCTACTCAGTCGAAATGGATTAATTAACCATTGGTAAATATGGGCACATCTTCCTTTACATCTGGCAAATCTGTTTCATGGCTCTTTTCCTGCCAAAATTAATGAAGACTTGTTATCCCTTTAATTCTTCCTAAAACAATCCTTTATTTATCACAAAAGCTACATGTATTGGGGGGGCATACATTGTCATGAGCAGCAACTCAACTGGCTGGGAAAAGTAACCCGAGTGTCAAAAAACAAGTGACCTTATGGAAATTGGCCAATCTGAGCTGAAAATAATGCATCCATAACCTCCTTACGATGTATTTACAGAGGTTCTCTGGTGCACTCCTTTTTTTAATGCTTACTCTGACTAAACAAAACCAGCGGAGTGTACCAATATAAATTAGAGTGCCTCCTTATAATTTGAGTCCAAAATTCAATCCTCTGGAAGCTGTGCAAACAAAGCTTAACTGTTTAATACTGACAATAAAACATATTCTACTGTAAATCCTAGAAACTTAGCACATCAATATTTGTTTGTATGATACTGCTTCACAACATATCCTTTCATGAAACTGTAAGACGAACAAGCTATACAACAAAAAAAAGGCCAATAAGTCACAAAAAATAATAATTTCTAAAAAAAAAAAAGAAAAAAGAAATATGAACAAATTCCGCATATATTATTTTTTGATTGCCTTAAACCTCAGAAATTTTATGACACATTTTTTGCTGCAAAAACTTTATACATAAACCCAAACAGAATATATACTCTAACAAATATAACAATCTTTATTTGTTCAGACTACTATATTGTTCTTTAAATACTCATAATAGCACTTTTTGTATGCAGCAAAAAAGCTTTGTAACTGAATACAAAAATAAAATGAAATAATAATAGAAAAATGGCATCAAATATATATATTTCTATTACATAAATTAACAAAACATCACAATTTACGTTCTAAATTAAAATAAATAGCATAATCATCGAAAAAAATAAAGCATTAAATTATTGTAAACATGTACTTAATCCATCAAGCTGACCATGGTGCTTATTAAGCATATATTTGAAAACAAAATTTGGTTAAATTTTTGGTTACTTTAGAGAATATCTGAGCTATAAACACCATAATAATTGACATATCTAGCTCACTAATTTACTAAATTATAATTTGATGAACCACATTTCTATTGTATTATTAACACTCTGGTTTGAATAGTTAGATTTTGCATATAAACATGCACATGCTGAGCATGCATCTAGCAGTCAACGTGTACGACAACAGAAGAGAGCAACTGCAGGGACAATAGTACAGAGATAAATATTGTGGACAATCATTTTTGATTATCACTGTCCTTTTTGTTATCCCAAAAATATTGTTCTTTAAGTTAAATTTTCTGATAAAAGATTATCTGAGGGCAAAAAAAGGAGGTTTACAGGTGACTGATAGATTCAGGACAAGGCTGGGGGGTATAAAGATAGATATTAAAAGTGTCTGTTAAAATATTTTTTCTGCTTAAAAACCACCTTCAAATTTTTCTCATGAAGTATCACAATCATGAGTAGAAAGGGACACAAACAAACATAACAGAAAAGGCGTCTTGGGGGGAGGGGAGACCACAAAAACTGATTGTCGTATTAGCAACTACAACATATCATAGAAATTAATTTCTAGTTGGACCATCTTGTTAAACAGCCCAGACAATCTTGAAACGCTCTTCTCATCAAAATTATCCAAAATATCTTTAACATCTCCAATGCAGCTCATTTCCAATTCCTTGATATTTTTCGCAAGTTCTATTCCTTTGGGGTCTTCTTTTTCCAAAAGGGCCACAAATTTTTCATGCGATTTATACAGAGGGTGTTTTCGATCCACTTTTGATTGGAATCGAGGCTTGACTCTAACAGGATCCTCTGCACCATAATCCTTCGACGTTGTCATCGCTAATTTGGCATTTTCCTCGCTGAAGACGTAAGGCTTATAGATGGATTTCTCCGGATCGGGCGTGGCTGTGAACCAATGGCAGGCAGGGAGAGGGGACCCTGGGGGAGGGAGAAAAGAGACCTGGCTCCCCGCACTGACGAAGCCCGCTCCTGTGCCCATACAGATGCCGCTGCGCTCGTCTCTTAGAATTGTCATCATGTTGACTATATTGAAAGTGCCTGTAGTTAAACAGGAAATATGCACAATTTAAGTATATTAACAGCATAATTCAGTATCTGATCATAAGGATTCAGTGGAGGAAAATGTAATTTAGCAAAGGAAAAATTATTATTCAGTAGAATCTCATTACCTCTAAGTAGTATTAAATTTCATAGATTGGACTGTTAGTCAGTAGAATATCATTGTCTTTCAGTAAAATGTAAATCATCATTCAGTAGAATTTAATTGCAATTCATTAACATCAAATTTTTATTTTATAGATTAGATTGTCAGCCTGCAAAATATCAATATTGTCCAGTAGAATAAATTGATCAATCAGCATATTTACAATATCGCTAAGTCAAATCAGTTTATCTTTCAGCAAAATCAAATCATCATAGATCATATCGACATCATGATTCAAATTGTCACTTAGTGGAATCTCAAGTCATTATCACTCTGTAGAAGTAAATCACCAAGCAGAAGAATCACACAATCTACAGAAGAATTTCATATAATGTAATATTTAGCAGGCTGACATAAGGAATCTAAAGATGCTCATTATATTCAGTAGACAGTAGAATCTTACATGTGCTATAACAAAAATTCATTTTAAATCTCTTACATTGTCCAACAGTCGAACACTTATCATTGTCATCATCATAATCATTATCACAGAAGGAAATTCATTATGATCATTATCTTTAACATCAAAAAGTTTATTTTAAAAATTCAACCTTTTTCTGAGTATTTCTGCATCAGCTTCCTTCCTGTTCCATAGCGTCCTACCCCCAGAACCGGGTCTCTTGGAGTCATATCTGAATACACCTTGGCAAAGTCTAGCGGGCCAGTCTCTGGTTTCCATAGTCCATTCTCCTGCGCATGGGCCTCGACTGAGGAACACTTGGCATCCATTTTGGTTCTTATTGAGAGTTCATTGGAGATGTTTCTAACTCCACCTGGAAGTATAATAATATTATTAGCATTTGGTGACTGTATGAAAAGATTATTCTTTACATTAAAGTAAAAGTAACCAAATATTCAGTGAACTTAAAGACTTAACTCTCAAATTATTCCACTAAAATTTCCAAAAAATAAAAAAAATAAAAAAAAAAACTATTCTGGCAATTTAAATTTATATTTTTCATTTTATGTGTGGTTCTTGTATTTCAATGTATGTTTATCTCTTAATGGTTCTTATTATTAAAAAAAAGACATTAAAAAACCTTTTTATTTATTTTTGAGTAACTTGTGACTACTAGTCTTGATTATTTTTCAATTAATCCGTGTGGATTAAGTATTTATATATATGTAAACAGCCCTGAGGTGCATGTGAAGCATGGTTTTAAGAAATAAATAATTATATCTTGATAATTATAAACTCCTCAACCTTGGTCCCTAACAACTGTATCCCAATAATTGTTTCCCAGTAAAAGTTATGAGGCGGCACTAGACGCACTCCTTACTTGTGATATGTTCAGCCACCCATATACGATCCACTGTCTCCAACACCCAGGCTTCAGAACGGTCAGCAATTATATAACTATTATGATACGTCCAACCATCAGCATCATCAAAGCTAGGACCTCCTTGACCATGCTTTTCCAGCAAGGCGGTCATTATGTCCATTGCTTCCTTGGCCGTCTTGCCTCTCTCTAAGCCTAATCTGAAGTAAAAATGATTTTCAATTGTCATAAAGTTTTATTTTGAAATTTACTCTGTATAAAAAATAAAGCAGAAGCTTTTTATTCAATTATTTTTTCAGCTAATAAATTTTGAGAATGATCTCTACCTCCAATGTTACAATATCTATCAATATCTATGTGTGCACATGTATAGGTTTAAACTGTCTAAATATTAAAAATTTAACAAACTGAGACCAACTGCTGAGAGAAACCATGTCTTCCTAGTTATGTTTTCACCAGCTGCTTAGAAATGCACCCATATATAACGCATACTTTCGATCCACACCTAACTAAATCCATCCCTTGCAACCTCTCCTCCGACTCTGAATCTATTTTGGACCAGATGGCCTCGTTGCCGATGCATACGCCATGCTCGTTGGCTCCCATCTCTGCCCCCCACATCCATGCTGGTTTTGACAGCACGACGGCATACGTGTGTGGCACCTGCTCGATCTCTATGTAAGTACACTGAAATTCAGGACAAAAACAACTTTCATTACTGGCTTTACAGACTATAGAGTGTTGAGGTTACCTATTTTCACAGTATTTCAATTAATTTTAATACTTGAAATTATGTATTTTCTCATTTTACCATTAAAAGTTTTATTATTTAGACGATTACTAATATAAACAGTTTTAATCATTTTAATTGTTAATTTACCTCAGTATTTATATAATTACTTGTGCTTGTAATTCTATTATCATTATAAAATGGGCAGAAATGAAATCAATCAAAAAGTGGAAGTGTTGTACTGTATGTAGGGAGGACATGATCTAAACCAAAATTAAAATAAAAATTTTATAAAACTGTAAAATACTGCAAAAATTAGTCATCAATAGGAACCTCTCCTACAAAATCTCACATGATTTTACCCCAAATTCACTATACTTTTGACTTATCTCAGATTCCCATAGGAGAGTCTGTGATAGTTGTAAACTACTGTACTGTTACAGTAATGATTTTTCTGTGCATTCCTAATAAGACTAAATCTGACAATGATTAGGAACAAAGATTTCTTATCTACAGGCATTAAAAACAGATAATGCATTTTCTAACTCAAGCCTCAGATTTGGTGAGTAATTCTACACTGGGGTAGTTAATTCGTGGCTGGAGTCATTCATTTGTGCATTTGTGCTCCCAAATCTACGTCTCGTGTTAGAAAACGACAATTATTGTTTCTGGACCCTATCTACCTGTAGTTTGCTTCCTGCTGGGTGGTCAGCTGCAGGCAGACTGACCACCTCCTGGACCTCATCCTCAGGCCGGTCAGAGTTCTTCCCAAAGACCACACCCCCTCCCTCAGTGGCAGGCGGGAGGGCCACAAAGGTATCACAACCTAACAGCACCTTGGCCATTTATGTTCTGAAATTAAAAAAAAAAATTAATAAACATACACATATATTTCCATAGATATTTTTATATGGATTGATTAATTAATAAAAATATTAATTAATTAATCAATTAGTGAATAAATTAAAAAGATACAGAAATTAAAATATAAATCATACACAAATGTATGTTTTTTTGAGACTCTCTCAACTATATCATATACTGTAGTGCTAATAACCCTGAATTTACCAGCAGGTATTGATTAGAGAAACTGTTATATGAATTCTGGGGTACACAAACACTGGCCAATTTAGCCAAATGCTAAAACTGACTTAAGTTGGCTAAACAAATAATGGTTGATTTGACTTGTTTTAGTCATATTTAAAGCATTTGGAGAAAAAAGTGATGAAAAAGTAGTGATTTGGCTAAGAGAAAAAAATTGCCAGGACTACCCTAGGAATAACTGTAACTTGAACCCTGCCTCCTCCTCTGGATCCCATGTGTCATAGATCTCATATATGATGAGGTACATTGCGTACAAGTACCATCAACAATCTTGTCATCACAGCATTAATGTACACTGACTATTGTGTGTTATTTTAAGCTACATAGACATGGTCAATAGCAGCAAGCATTGTGTACATGGATCGATACATTCCATTATGCATCACTGTCTACTTGTATAGAAAAATAGGCTGATGTATTTGCATCTAGACTACAAAAAGAACAAGTATCAATTAAGGCATCCATGCTGATTGATGTAGTTGCAACAATTGTTCTGGATCATTCTTCAAATAAGTCATAATGATGCCGTATCATGTCTCCAGCATAAAAAAGACAAATGTACTGCATTAATTTTTGTTTTCTCTGACGTAACATGCTGCAAAAGCATTTCCAGACAATATTTCCAGGGGTCTGTAGTAGCTGTTTTACATACCAGTAAGTATGTCAGCCTAAAAATAGGCCCCAAACATAAACTAAAGACCCTTTTTTTAATCATAATGATTTTGATCCAAGATAAATCAGAAGCAGTCCTATAAAATAATAATAATAATAATAATAATAAACTGCGCCTGTTTCATTACAATGAATATGTTGCTAATGCATCAGAAATAACACTTGATTTAAGGGGATTACTATGGATTTATTTGGCCTTGAAATACACAGACATGAGTCTCTGTAAAAAAAAGACTCTTAAAATTAATTATGAGACCATGCACCTTCTTGATTTTTTCTCTCTTTCTAATCCCCTTAAGCATATTTATTGGTGAAGATCTACTGAAGGTCTATGAAAAAATGTAGTTTTTCTACGGCCATATAGATGAAGAAGACGATAGATTTCTCAGATGTTTTATATTAGGTGGGCGTGGGTAGTGGGGGGGGGGGGGAATCAATGAACAAATTTGCTAGCTGCCATTTTCTTCAAAGACGCTAAAAACATTGATCTAAGACTTTATTTATTGACTAAAGCTGCTCTTGTGTACATGTACCACTAACAACCTAGAGATGTGTTAAAGCAATCTGCTAATTAGAGTCTATCAGATCAATGGAGAATAAATGTCTACCACACCTTGCACTTAGTGCAGTACTACTAGCACATGTAGTATCTAATGATGTGCAAAGAAAAAAAAAGGTTAATGCAACCTTCATGCAGCTGAATTCCTTAGGTACTAGATAATTTTAAATGCGAAACCAGAATACTAAGTCTGACTTACATATATCAACATGGCTTCTTTGCAATTCAAACGAGTGCATGCCACAAATATGGGCATCAAATATTACACATGAATTTTACACTCTGGAATACAAAATGACATCAAAAATCAATTAACCACTGACCTGTCCTTAGCCTATGGAGCCTCTGGGTGGTTCTCTCAGGGTTAAACCCGAAAAATAATTCCTCTTTTTTCTCCTAGAGAGTTGAATATAATTTCCTGGCTAAAAACACAGAATGAGTCAGATCCTCCATGTACCGCAGACCTACCAGTATGATAATTTTCGTCTGACTCACTGTACAGACCTAGCTTTTCCTCCGCATATATCAAATACATGAAGCACCCTCTTGGAAAATCTTTCATTGAAAATAATGAATAGCAGGATTGGGGAAGGCCAATCAATAGATCTATCATTTCCAAAGGGAAATATCACGATTTTCATTTGATTCCTAGAAAGGGGGAAGTCCCATTCATTATAAGTGCACGGATAGTTAATTGTGGGTTACAAACATACATGAGGGAAGAACACAGATGAGAAATGATGAGAAACAGATTGGTGCCTAGATTTGTAATGATGGCATGAAATTAAGGTATCTGAGTAGACTGACAGACAGACAGACAGGCAGACAAACAGACGGACAGACAGGCAGACAGACAGACAAACAGACAGGCGACTGTCAGCTGACACATAAACAGGCAATGGACAGAAAGGCAGACAGACGGACAGACAGACAGGTGACAAAGAGGTGACATACATACATACATACATACTTACATACATACATACATAAAAACATACATACACACTGGTACATACATACATACAGCACATAGAAACACACATAAAAACATGCGTACATGCATGTATCTGACAGAAAGAGAGACAGACAGGCAAGTAAAATGGGTAGATACTGATGAATAAAAACAGATAGATTAGATATATAGAAAGTACAGGCCCGTAGCCAGCAATTTCAAATGGGGGGTTCGTTTTTTGAAAAAGTGGACCTTTTACCATAAAACCATCATGTACCTAGATCAAATTTTATCCAAAGTGGACCTTTTCCCAGCAAAAAGGGCGGTTCTTTCGAACCCCCCGAACCCCCCCTGGCTACGGGCCTGAAGTACTAGTAAGAAGGTGGGAAAGCTAGGACATCCAAATAAAAAAATCAGTATCCATACCATAACCATTACAATGAAATTATAATACATGTAGTAATTTTGACATGGGGAACCTGTAAGAGAAACATTTGCCATTAATATTGCATACATCACTTTGAGTAACCAGAGCATGACCTTTCCCTGGTAATGCAGTCAATAAAAAAATATTCATACTTCGTGAGGCACAGCACATACTAGTACTAGAACACAGTAGGCCCAAAGCCAGCAATTTCAAATGGGGGGTTCTTTTTCTGAAAAAGTGGACCTTTTACCATAAAATTTTCATGTATCTAGATCAAATTTTACCCAAAGTGGACCTTTTATCAGTAAAAAGGGCCGTTCTTTCACCCCCCCCCCTTTCCCGGCTATGGGGCTGCAGAGAAACCTCTCCATCGTTGAGTTGCTAATATAATTATTTATTTAGATCACACTCCTAATAAAACTGAAACACTAATGGATATATATAATTATAACACATGCATTTATTTGGGAGTTACAGCACCATACACGAACACATGCACACACACACACACACACACACACACACACACACATTTTTTTGTATTAACAATTATTTTCTCCACTATTTTTAATTTATTATTATTTGAACTTATTTTGTTTTATTTATCTATTTTTTTATAATGAAATGAGTAAATATTTATAAGGCCATTTCACATGCAGAAGCAAAAGAAAAACAAATAGGAAACAAATGATATTTAAGACAGAAAATAAAGTAATTATTAAAATAAGAATAAAATAATTTTTATATCATCCTCTGCTAGACAAACCTGTGCAGCCAGAGAGAGAGAGAGAGAGAGAGAGAGAGAGAGAGAGAGAGAGAGAGAGAGAGATACCAAACATGACGCAGAGGTCATACAGGCATAATATAACAGACAACACCCACTGTAATATTCTGGACAAGTGATACACTGTAGCTTCCACTGAGGAATTCCCAATCAATAGTCTATTACTGATTACAGAGATTAAATGATGAGATATTGAGTGATTTTTCCTATTAATTACACGACAACCACGTCACTGTACTCTGAAAAGGATATTAAATCAGCAGAGACGGAGGAAAAGGATACATCTAGTGAGATATATACATGTGGTAATACAAGGATTTCCAGCATCTTGAAGAAAATTGACTGTCGTGATTTAATTTCCCCAGTGTTCTTGTTTTATTGTCCATTAGATGTATTTTCAGGATATCACTGTACATTTGCCTTGAAATTAAATAATTTTACACATAACTGCTCATATACTAATATGTACTAATGCTCGATTTGCCTTTTTTTAAATATATTCTCTTAATTTTGGAAACGGACAACTTCAAATTATTTTTGCTGTTAGGATTCTAAACTTTCTTATCATCCAGTAGGCCAGTGTAATTTATATTTCTTCAGCATATATGTATAATGGAAGTCCAACCTCTGCCCAAACAATTACATAGTTACTGTACATGAAAATGCAACAAATCAACATAACAAAAACCTTGGACAAAACCAAGTTAATTAAAAGTAGACTAAAAACAAATATTAGGTTACAATATTCCCTTCTTATTAATTGTTCATCTCTGAATCAACGGGGGCGTCTCGATAGTCCGAAGGTTCATTGGTCCGAAGGTTCATTGGTCCGAAAAGCGGTAACATCGATTTTTTCTATAGTGAACATTCGGACCAATGAACCTTCGGACTATTGAACCTTCGGACTATCGCTACGGCCCCGAATCAACAATGACCACAATGGCTATAATAGCTGCAATTGATGCGTGTAAATAATGAATGACTTTTGATCATAGACAGATTCAAATTTTTTGCTGTACAATGATTTGAGCCTTTGCATCTTTCTGTCAGTTGGCCAATGTAATTTATATCTGTTTGGCATACATATGTAATGGAAGTCCAACCTTTGCCCAAACAATTGCATAGTTACTGTAAGTCAAAATACAACAAATCAATATAACAAAAACCTTAGACAAAGCCAAGTTAATTAAAAGTGGACTAAAACAAATATTAGGTAACAATATTCCCTTTTTGTTCATCTCTGAATCAACAATGGCCATAATGGCTATAATAGCTGTAAGTGGTGAGGGTAAACACTGAACAACTTTTGATCATGGACAGCTTGAAATTTTTTGCTGCAACAATTTAAACCCTCCTATCTTTCTGTCAGTTGGCCAATGTAATTTATACCTATTATGCATACATATATAATGGAAGTCCAACCTCTGCCCAAACAATTGCATAGTTACTGTAAGTCAAAATACAACAAATCAATATACAAAACATTAGACAAAGCCAAGTTAATTGAAAGTTTTCTAAGAACAAATATAAGGTTACAATATCCCCATTTTGTTCATCTCTGAATGAGCAATGATAATAATGGCTATAATAGCTGCAAGTGGTGAGGGTAAACACTGAACGACTTTAGATCATGGACAGCTTCAAATTTTTTGCTGTAACAATTTCAGCCTTCATATCTTTCTGTCAGTTGGCCAATGTAATTTATACCTGTTTGGCATACATATATGATGGAAGTGCTACCTTTGCCCAAACAATTGCATAGTTACTGTAAGTGAAAATACAACAAATCAATAAGACAAAAACCTTAGACAAAACCAAGTTAATTGAAAGTGGTCGAAAAACAAATATTAGGTTACAGTATTCCCTATTTATTCATCTGTGAATCAAAAGTGATTTAAATGACTTAAAGAGTGGTGTATGTTAAAAATGTTGATTTTTAAGTTTCAGTCTCTGTGAATCATCTTCTTAAGTCACTCTACTTAATATGTATCTTCAAACATTTTTTTTTTGGGGGGGGGGCTAAAAAACTTTTTTAAAAAATACTTACAATCAGGGCAGATACATTCCATATAAATCTTCATTTTCAGACTAGAAAATGGATTTGTACTATAATTTGAACATTTGGGTAAAAGTGATGTTCATATCAAGTTCAGTTATTACAAAAAAAAAAAAAAAAAAAAAAAATGGTGCTGTCTTCCAATGCAATCCCTAACTTATGGGAATATATAATAGCACTACTTTTGTCTTGCCCTCCTCATCAAACTTCACAGACTTTTCCCCCATCCAAATGCTCAATTTTCTCACAAATATTTCCCTTCATTTGAACTAAACTGTCTACTCCTCATGAGGGTGTCTGCTCTAAGAGAGTACACTCAAAACGGCCATCTTGTTACTACAACAAGCTGTTGCCACGGTGACTGCTCAGCGGACATTGTGTCACAGTCAAATATTAGCTAGATGAAGTGTGCAAGCCGGACACTTGAGCAGCTGGTAATCTGTTGTTAGAGGACTCCCTCATGCTCCGACCAGTTGAGCACTGACTTAGTTCACGTATTCCTTCTGAGAAGACAGATATCATTGCAGTTGTGGGTATATTGGAAAGAAGTCACTTGCTTCAAATTGAAAGATGAAGGTAAGGTCACTATTTATCACACTTATTTAAAGAGCATTATACCAGAATTGTTTCATTTTGTAAAAAAATAAAAATAAATAAAATAATAAATAAAATAAATAAATGAAAAACAATTAATTGGAAAAAAAATTTTGAACTCGATTAAAAGAAATTGTTTCTTCAGCTTGATAGAATTGCCTTGATATTTTTTAAGCAGAACATAATAATGTGGAAAAAATTCACAGGGTCTTAGGCAAAACTATCATATAAGCATTTGTCTGAAAGTTTTTTAATATAATATTTTTATGTTAAAGGGATAATAACTCTTCGTATGAGATCTATATTTCACAATAAAAACATTGTGAATAACTCATAGAAATAGAATATATTCTGTTTTACCATAAAAACGGCAGTTATAACTATAAATTCTGATATTTGAGCTTGTCTTTAAATCACGTGACCTCCATTGATGGCTATACTCTGTTAAAATCTCTTAAGAGATTTTAACAAAAAACCAAACTTTTTAGAAAAAAACCAGGGACTAACTTTGAATGTAAAAATGGATTTATTAACCATTGGTAAGTATGGGAAAATTGTTGTTTACTCCAGGAAAATTCATTTTTTGGCCGAAACGAAGAGTTATTATCCCTTTAATATCAAGAGACAGGCTATTTTCATGAATTCACTTGTGTATAAATTGCACATAATTTTGCATGAAGCTTCTGTCTACTACTACTAATTATATTAAGTGTTATATAATTGTCATATAATTGTTATTATAAAGTACAACCAATGCTTACTGTGTTTCTGAGAATGGCTCTTTTGCTTTGTGTCAGCATCATGAATACACTGTTATGCTACTAAGTAACGACACAAAGGAATGAGAGAAAAATTACCCAAAACAAAACACTAACCATTAACAAACTGATAGCAAAAATAGATAAAAAATACTGATTATTAATGCTTGAAACATGTTCAACTGTGAAAAATGATGGTTGTATCTAAGAGGTATCAATTAAGTGTCTTCAAGTTACAATTTAAGGCTTATACTTGTACACGTAGCTTTATAATCATGTAAAATTTGTCCCAAATGCTTGAAAACAATGATTGCTAATTAGCTTGGCTACAGAAAAGTGATTGTTTTTATGTATAAGCATCACTTGGTCAATTTTATTGATTTAGATAAAACTCATGGTTATCTTAAATAAATTAACAGACCAGGCGGAACATCCTGTTGTTACTAGGCAAAATGAGAAGCAAACTATAAACATAACATAGTATCTGTTTATGGCCCAATGCATATATATCATTTATGTATATGATAGAGTAAAAAGGAGGGACCCTGTCTAGCTTGCCTTCACAGATAACCTAAAAATGTCTTTCTTTCTTGATTAATCTCTGACTAAAGTGCGGAGACAAACAGTACATCCAAGCCCCCACCACTCCTCCCCCCACCATCCTATTGTTGATATCATCGCCTTGACAACAGTAAACAAAATATTGACTCTATAGAACTGATTACCCCTGGTGTTCATCCTTACTACAAACACAAAGCAACAGTGTCAATATTATGTATCCAGAAGTCACTTACTTCTGCTGCTTATAATGGAACAGCGGCCAAATATTTAATTAGTTGATTATGATTATAGTGGGGAGAGGAGGGAGGGGGGGGGGGGGCAGGTAGCTTGGAACACCTGCTATTGATTTCTGAAAAGTGCCTCTCCTACCCCCCTCAAAAATAAATAAATAAATAAATAAGAAGCGAAAAACAAGAGAGTACTCCTTTGAAACACATACAGTCCTCTGTCAAAGTGAAAATAAAAATAATGTTAAAATCATATAATGTATAATTATCAAAAAATATATATATAAATATATTTTGTGGGACCTGGGTTCAGTTAAAAACTGTAATCTATACTTTTTGAATATATCCCTCTACTTGGCATTTTATGAAAATTTATCAGACTTTGGAAAGAACTGTATCCAGTTACAGGCAAGTAGGAAGCAATTTCAAAAAGGGGGTTCTTTTTCTGAAAAAGTGGACCTTTTACATTAAAACCTCTGTGTACCTTGATCAAATTTTACCCAGAATGGACCTTTTCCTGACCAAAAGGGGCGGTTCTTTTTGACCCCCCCCCCCCCCCGCCCCCACTCCCGCCTAGGGGCCTGAGATATCTCATCTTCTAATTAACAAACAGAAAAACCAACCTCAATGATAAAAAAAATCCTTCACTGGCATAAGTATTAAGTACATGTTGCAGTACATGTAAATATAAGAAATACAAGTTCACTATTGTGACGGTAAAACTGAATCCACACTTTTTGGGTGGGAAACGGATATGTCGAACCCTATACCTGGAAAGTATTGACTGAATCTTACTAACAATACCACATTGGATCTTATCCAAACACTGTTCTTTTTAGGATGGTATAGTTTTGGGACATATTCAGCCCGCATATATACACGTAGTTACATGTATGCCCCTGACAACAGTCAACACAAGACAACAAAGAATGACACAAGTCTCTACTTGTTGCTTTCATATCTATATATATGTCTATCCAAAAATGTCACCTGAAAATCATATTTGCGCATCTTATTTGTAAATCAAGTTAATGAAGATGAAGTACTTTTCAATTGTAAAATTTAATACACTTATTATTCTAGTACTTGAGGAAAGAAAAAAAAAAGAAAACTTAGTATTTAAAATTAAAGGGACGTATAATTTCCAACTTTCAATTAAATGCACCTGCTGGAAAAATAAATAGAAGTCACAGAACAGATTGAAGTCTAACATTTTCTTATTTGTTCAACTGTCCAAATACGTAGGAAAAAATATATATATACATACCAAAGTGAATATTTGCAAAGTGCTCACAGAAATTCATCAAATAATGCTCTTTCTAGGGTGACCTGTGGAAAAAATTGATAAGACCCAAATTAAGCTACTACTAGTAAATAGAATTGTTACATTAGTAGTGGAAGCCTGAAATGGATGATTTAAGATAGAACATGATTGACCAAATTTATGTGTCTAGTTTGTGAATACCACGTGAGTAAAATGGGTTGTAAGTTTGCCGTTTATGGTGTTATCAAGGAAAATGCACAGGGATTACAGTGATAGCGAAGACAGACAATGATTACGACCATGTGTTTACACATGTTAAGTCTGTCTATAAAAACGGTCCATATTTTGACAAAGCTATGATATTGTACCTTTGTGCAGTGCTCAACAAATTGTTGAAAAACACACTTTGGGATCATAGCTCAGAGGCAACAGTTACTAAATACAAAATTTTTCCACAAATATCTTTTGTCCTTGTGAGTAGAAAATACCTGTTAGTACACAATGGCTCAGTTGCACTGCTTTTGTTGAAAGAAGGTGGAAAGGAACGATGTCTCTAAATGTGTTTCATACATTTTACCCTCTTGCAAAGATGCCCCGATTCTGACTCAGTGTTCACTTTCAGAGGTGCACAGCATAGTTTGATATTTTACAGTTGATTTTTCTGTCAATACCAGTTCAACAGCACTCACACTCTCAATGAAGTTTTCCAAACATACTAGTATACTATCAATGCTTTTATGACATTTAAATTCTGGGGAGGCGCTATCAATTTTATTACTTTTTCATCAATTTTTTTTTCCAAATGGTTTAAATTTGACTAAATTAAGACAATCAAACTTATTTTTTTCAGCCGATTGCAGTCAGTTTTAGCATTAGTGCTACCCCAGTTATTAATTGTCAAGCTGCTAATATCAATAATGTGATCTATGGAGGGTATAAACAAATTTAACACTGCATGGCAATGGATCATTTATTCCCTGGAAAATTAAATTACTAGTAAATTTATAAATGCCCAGGCCTAAAAAAATTTACCCTTCAGATAAGAGTTCAGTCATCTAAAGGGTAAATAAAAGTAAAATTTACTGAACCCCCCCACCCCCACCCCTACTGGACCTGCTGGCTTAACTGGCCTGCAATGTATGACTGTAGCCGGTAAAGATTTCTCTGCCTCCAGTCACATAAAAATTGAGAACGAGAGATCAACAATTTTACTACCACCCTAAGCTCTTTCGAGAGCCCATCAAATATTGACATATAAATCTAATATCAATGTAATGGATTTATAGTCCTACTACTTAGGAGCCATATCCTGACTGTAAACATTTAGCATTTTTAAAAAAATGTTGACTGTCTGTTGCTATTGTGGGAAATTACAAGTTAAACATGGTGTCACGGTGGTAATATATATGCCCTTTTTTATTGCAAGGGATCTTATGGCAAAGGGAAAATAAATCACCACGGAAAGAGTAACAGTTATGAAATAACCCATAATCAAAAAATGTCATGCTTCAGAGTTCACTGCAATGAGTAAGTTGGCACTATAACAGTCCCATTCTCCAATGTGAGGGGGTGTGGGGGGTGTGGGAGGTGGCAGGTGGGGGTGGGGGGTGTGTGGGGGTGACGATGTCATCCTCACCAGAGTGTTGCATTTTTCTGTCTTTCATCTGCCTCTCTATCTGCACATAATTTACCATTTTTCAAACCCATCATCTTTCTTTTTTCCCCCCAATTTACTATATATTCTAAGTTATGCACCTGAAGTAACAGATTTAAAAAATATATAGATGATCTCTCAATAAATGTATTTACACATTGATTTTATCAACAGATTATGCTGAGTTTTTACCAACTTAATATCGATAGGGTAAATCCACTCTTCAAAAGTGTGTGTACTTTGGCTTTGTCCATTTCTGTGCGAAAACAACTGTAGTGCCTGACATTATGAATTAAACCATCCAAAACTTAAACTTATGCTTAATCCTTAAGCGGTAACCAAATAGGTGTGGTGAGAACAATCACTACCACCCTTCAGATAGACTGCCTTGTTTGTTGTGTTGAAATTTAAAGGGTACAGAAGGTGAATTTACTGACTCCAAAAATTATCCCATGAAGGATATCAAAAGGTGTTAAACTTTAAAGGTAGTGAATGTGAAAAAAAAAAAAAAAAAAAACTTCAAGACTTGGAGGACCTTACGGCTCGTCCATTAACATCTAATGTCAACCTGTACGAGTTATTTAAAACACATCACCCACACACCTTTAGTTTTCATTCCAGAATGTCTCGGAAATTTTTGTCACATCTACAGGTTCCGTTAACTTGCCATCTGACTCGTAATGCAAGAAGTAAAATTTTTATTCTATAAATGAAGTTCAATAGATTGATGAAAAAAAGAAGGTTTTTTTCTTGCTGCCCCTCCTGGAAATTATGTCTGGTACAAAATGTCTGGATAGTAAAAGCTCTGTGAAAACGAGCAGCACACTTATTGTAGCAAAGGAGAGTGAATCCATTGATTTTTTTTAGCATAAAGGTATGTACTATTGATCTCAGCTTGACCGGTTCAAGAGGGTAGGGAAAACCTTTAACCTTAAGGAATGGCACTCCAGCCGTAGCTAGGGTTGTTGCTAAAACAAGGCTATCTCCAAGGTACTCAGCACACGTGGTGTGTAAACGTAGCCACCTATCAGCTTCCCCATCCATCCATTCACTCGGTTCTTTGCCACCGTGAAGCCGACATTAAAATATTCTGAAACTATCCAACTTCATAAAAAAATCTTTGCCTTTGAAGACGGTTTCTACATTGCATCATTAAGACAAGATGAAGGTGAGTAATGATCTCTTGGAAAAAAAGCTTTCACAGTTTTAGTCATGACACTGTATTTTTTTTTGATATTTTGAAATGAATACTGATGGAGTTTATTGAATCAGAATATTTTCAAAAGAAATTTGAAAGGTGGAAGTTATTAGATTAATGTTACACTGTTTAAGGTTAACTCATGCTAAACCTCTATAAATGATAAAAATAAATAAATAAATAAATTAATTAATTAAAAGAAAAAGAAAAATATCCTAAACAAAAATTCATATAACAAGTTACACTACTGCACAGAAGTGAAAGTGGAGAGGAAGTGGGCACTTGTAAATAATCCCCATCAGAAATGAATCCAAAATCTCCAAATTCTGTGATTCCATGCAAAAAAAGCTCATGTTTGTAACTACGTTATTCAAGGATGTAAAATGCAGAGGGATTTATATTAAAGTGGTTACTAGTAACTATGGTTTTAGAAACGACACAATTATTTATGATCATCACCTTTCTTTCTGAAATGTGTTCAGTGATCAATAGAATCAATAGTTAAGTACTAGCAATCAGCACTGTTGCTCCCTTTTTCGTTTTACAGAAGCACTTGTGTACTTTATGTTTGATAAAAAACAATGTAACCAAGGTATGTTTATGTAAAAAGGACATTCTTTGAGGATATTCCCATTCCTTGTAAATAACGTCTGGTCTAGGAGGCTTTAGAAAAAAGTGTTCACTCAAGCATGAAATATAAAATTATCCAGTAACGGTTGTATAAAAAGGGAAAAGAGTGCACTGGTTCTTAACAATTGATCGATAAAATACAAAAGCTGGAAGTAAAATGCAAGAGCAATAACCTTTGTTTTCACTGGGTTTGTATAGCAACCTACAAGAATAGATGCATTGGGAAGGTTGACTGATCAATCAATAAATATGTAGCTGTGCCTAAATAGCTTAGTTAACGGAAGTCTTGGAGAAGTCTGAAAATTTCAGATGCAGTACCCTATAGTCTTTTCTATCAACTTCTGCATACAAATGCTAAATGATGCAGTAATAACTTAAAATATAAGCACATCTTTCTTTCTTTTTTTTTTTTAATTTGAACTTTTTCAATTTTATTTTAGCATTTTTAGGCAATTACAAATATCCTAATTTCTCAAAACTGTTGAAACAACACTTTAAGGTTTTGAATTTTTTCCTTTAATTCTTTTTTTTTTCTTTTTGATTTATTATTTTTCTAATTAAACATAATTCATAAAAAGTTTTCAAAACATTTTATTTTTGGAGAAATTTTTGGTCATGTGGTTCAAATGTATTGAATAATCACCCTATTAGTTTTTCCTCTAAAAATCCCTTCCTTCCTTCATATTTTTCATATCTTACCAAACAGTTTGATGGATACAGTCAAAATAATCTTCCAGAAATTTATCTAAAACTCATAGTAACCTGATATGGTATGACTTGAGATACGAGTAAACCATTTACAGACAGTTTATTGATCCTTTTTATTTTTCCAGTCATCTTTGATAATTTGCACACATTTTTGAAAAACACTATTAACATCTCTCCAAAAAGACTTCAAAAGAGAGCAATGCTTTCAGTACTTGAATTGGGGAATTATGGTTAACGATTGTATAGCTATGTCTTATCCAGTTAATATTTTTTTATTTAGTATTTCAAATGTTTTTCTTAAGTCCAGAAACAATATTTCACAGTATCTTCATTTAAATTTCTAGCTTGATATATCCACCATAAAAAACACATTTATAACAACTTCTAAAATACTCATCTTTCTATTTGTACATGCAGTGAGACTGAAAACACCATTTGTTGCCATGTCAACATAACAGTGATACACATAACAAGGACAATTTCAAAAGCGAAACTGTACAGTCTATCAATTCAACTCGTTACGCTTGCTTTGGCATTAAGGATACCAAGCTTCAGTCTGCAACCAGGTCATACACATGATATTTTCCCACTTGGTTTGAAAGATAATAGCCCCGTCTCAGTGGCTTTGATTCAACATTTCCTGATAACAAGTACTGGTAACTCGATCTTTGGGGCCACAGCGTGAGTTAGCCAAAGACGAGCAAAATGATTCAATTTACATAGCTTTCACTGAATGCTAACCACAATCAGCTGAATATTATTCCAGATAAAACTGAAAAATGTGGAGTCTCAGACTTACTGCTATGCCGATTCAGAACCGACTTCTATTTTGTCGAGTGTGGACTGGGACAAAGGTGTTTTGTATTCATTGTACAACTTTCCATTGCATTCACCTGTCCTGGAAACTGCATCAGAACATGCTCCGCCCTTCCTCCCATCTATCAATGCACTGGGTCTAAATTCAGTACAAAAAATTCACGATGGTGTATAAACATTCTACAGTTCTCAAACTTGAAAATTAAAAAAAGATTGAATTTAGAAAAAAATTAGGAGATTTTATTTTCGGACAGACCACATTAATGTTGAAGGTATAGACTATGACTATAAAATATGTTTCTTAACTTTTTTTAGCACTTTATGTTAATGAATGGCATGAGGCTTAAAGATGCATACAAAGTCAATAATTGTCACAAAAACTGCCAAAATGCCAGCATATAGTTTCAAGTAGTATAACTAAAAGAATTGCCAAAAGGCATTGTTTAATTTTAACTGAAAATGATGTTTGAACGGATTTTTTTGCTAGCATTCTATGCTGTATGTCAATGGGACAGAAAAGTAGGTCATGAAACTAGGTTACATTTCCGACCAAAAAATTTAAAGAAAGGAGCAGTCTAAAGCTCTTTTATGGCTGATTGAGTGATTTATTCAGTTTATCCCTTGGCATGTCAAATTTATTCAAGTCGTATAAGAAACTAGTAGAAGTGGTTTATATGTGTTACTGGGAATCCACACTCCACCGATTCTCAGTTCGTATGTACCTTTAAGTGATTTGTTAGCAATTATAATAATTGTTACTCTTGACTGGTGATACTGATCCCATAAGTTTAAGGAACAAATAAAATATAGCCAAAAATACTCAAAGGCCCTTTTTGCATCGAGCATTATACTTTGGCAATAATACAAAACTCTGAGAGTTTGACAACTGTAATGTATCACTGCGTCACCTAAACTTAACCGAACCTCTCTGTATACTGCAGACTTGTGAAAAAGTTGTGAAAGGAGGTTAAATCCCACGTGACATGATTATTCTGTATATATTGAAACCTCTCAAACTGCACGGTAATTTTTTTTAATCTTTTCAATGAGGGGAAAATGAAGAATTTTACAGAGACTGTATTTTTTTCAGTCATAATATCTTCAAATTATAACATTCTTATTAGGTGGCAGCAACAAAATTAAAATGTAGGCCACTCTATAGCTCTATTCTATACATTTAAAGCACCACAAATGCTATACAGAAAACATAATTATTGTGATTATGAAATTATGTATCTGAAAGTTTGATCCTTTTTGCCCATTGAGAAGATCGAGTCATAACCATACTTGAACCAGAACAGATTGTATTACTTAAGTATGCCCCGGATATAAAAAGCACCAAGTGCAAACATTTGACTTCACTTAGGCTATAAAAAGACAAGGATGTGGCTAATGGCATGCCAATATAGATATTCTAAATGAAACTGACAAATCAATAAAAAGCAAACAATAAAAAACCTTAAATCAGGTAGAACTCACAAAGAACATGGCTTATAAACAGATTTCTTTTTCAGGCCTTTAAAAGAGTTTGCTATGTACAATGTTTATTCATAACCGTTGAATGCAAAGCTCATGACAACATAGCAACAGTGCTAATAGTCAATAATTAGGAATGTTTGCCCAAAACATAGAAAAGACATGTTCTGGTGAGTGGAGGGGCACTGAAAGATCTGCGTTTTTGTCTGGAAAAAAAATTCACCTTTAATTTTGACTTAGGTTCTATGCAATGTACGTCTCCATCTGGGTCAACTAATTAATGAAGTACTAGTAGGTCCACGTTTTCAGAAAAAGCCCCCCCCCCCTCCACTTTGAAATAGCGGCCTGTAACAATGATTTTTTTGGAGGAGACTTAATTGTGAAAATGTCAGATGTAAGATTAACATATATTTGAGTTTATATATATTATTCCAGTTATTCACTTTTTACAACAAGTTTTTCATATAGGTATTGATAGCATACAACTGAGATTTAGATTGCTGACACATTATGGTTTTAGATAAATCTAAACTTATCTTTATATATTTTACTGTATGCAGACGATATTGACTGAATTTTTTTTTTTTTGTCATTTTTAGATTCACATCATATTGAGTGCATGCATGCTGGCAGTCAGCATTAGTTTGATTGGTAAGTCCTAGCAAATGGTTGCCATATTTATACAGTTACAATAATAGCACTTGTTAAATGTATGTATATGTGCATCAACTTGTTAACGCAAAATACAATATAATCAAAATTGTGATATAAGTTTTTCATTGTGTGATGACAACAGACAAGGTGATGAAATGGGTCGAAACATTATGCCCTTTTGCACTTCAAAACCAACTTACTGAGTACATTTTTTTAAAATCAATAAATGATTAATAAAGATGTTTCAAAAATATAATAGCTATATTATTTATATTTACGTATTTCAGAGGCTAAGAAGTACTGTAAAGCGAATGCAGATTGCACGACTTCTGCACAAATTGGAAACACAAACAACGTGAAATGCATTAAAAGCGCCTGTGACTGGGGCGTGTGCGGCTGTTCGCATGGGTTTGTGCTGCGTTATCTGGGATCCGAAAAACTCATGCAGTGTGTGCCATGTAAGTTGTTTTCAAGGAGTCAAAAATGTGTAACCTAGGGATGGTTTTACAAAATGAAAAAAAAAAAAGAAAATTGGTTAAAACTTTTACAAAAGTTTTTGGTTTACTTTAACTTAAATTCAAGATAAATCCATAGATACTGTAGTCAACTTCATTATTATTAATATTTTTCATGATTCCTTTTCTTCTTCAGCAAATAAATGGAATAAATACTTGTAAATAAATCTATAAATAAAAAAAAATAATAACCAAAACTATAATTTTTCCTCAGTGAGAAAAATTGACGAATCCTGCTCCTACAATGACGCTACAGGCGTTTGCGGCGCCAAGAACTCTGAGTGCAGTAATGGCGTCTGCAAATGCACTGGCAGCAACCACAAAATGTGGGGTGGTGAGCACTGCGGGACAGGCCTCATGCCATCGGAGGGCCTCACGGCTGGTGACACCTGCGACTCAGGTTCAGCTTCCAACTCAGTCAGTGGGCATAATGTTTTAACAGGAGTTCCACACCAATGCATGTGTTCCTCAGCCTCTCAGACTTACCTCTACGGTGTGATGGCCAACACGTACAACTACTTCCTGGGAAGAAAATTCCCCTATTGTTTATCAGGTTGGTTTATTTATATATAATTAATACAAGTGACTGTACAGTGCACAGTGCCTCTCTACTATGAACATAGAGATAATAATTTTATCATTATTATAATTTTTTTTTTTTTTTTGCTCTGTTAATGAATTTTTCAAACATCAGATTTTCATTCTTTTCCATTCTTTTTGTTTGTGTGTATGTGTATATACATATTTTTATTCATACGTATACACATATATATACATTTTGTACATGTACAGTGTATATGTATATACATATTTATATAAAGGCCCTCTATGCATGGTATTTTTGTAAAGCTAATGCCTTATCAGCATGCTGCATTACCTTACGTAACCCATTTTGAAATGCTCAAGCTAATGTATTATCACCACCCCATGTATGCATAAATATATATCTATGCATGTACTATATATAGTGAGTATATTTTTTTATACTTTGTAAATTATCATTATTTTTTTAGCTAAAATTGGAGATATGTGCATCACAGACTCAGACTGTGGAACTAACATGAAGTGCACAAATGATGCATGTCAGTGCGATAGTACCAACGGTTACGATTACCACAATTATGCAAAGACCCAATGCTTCACTGCAGCCCAAACTGGTAAGTTGTGTATGGTAACAGACCACAAAAACCCAGATGTTACAAAAACTTCTATCATTCTAAGGCCAATGTAAGTTTCATTTTCATCAAGATTTATTAATTTTAGTTCCTTGTGGACCTTACCATCTGTCATGAACCAAACTTGATATTTTTTGGCAATTTTTGAATGAAAATTGACATTGTTGACATAGACTTGTTTTGTGTTTGAATATGTTCAATGTATCTTGCCCATTCCAAGCATCCCCCCCAACCCATCCATCCAGGCACCCACTCTCCGTAACTCCAGTCATCCACCCAACCATCTTTTGTCAGATTAATTCAGTTCTACCTCATGACTTCAAGACAAGGCTTATTTAATAAAAAAATGTTTTTCTATCCTCAGAAACCACCTTGGGTCAGTCATGTACAGGCAAAAACTGCGATGGGTCTGCCGGACTGGTATGCGGCGATTACTGCGAGACCAACTCCAGTGCCACTGCCGCCACGACCTGTCAATGTGGAGTGGGCCACACACAGTCTGGTAGCTCTTGCAATGCACGTGAGTATTTTTGCAAGTTCAAAGCAACTCTACAGGAACGTTCTCATAAACCCACTGTACTAGCTGGATCAATCTAACTCTGCAGGGATTCTCGTTAAATTGCATTCACTGTAAGAGACTTAAATGTCTGGCATGCCAACTCAAGGCACTAGGGGGATAATTAACAAAGGCTAATTACCTTCTTGTCACTCAAGGGGCATGTCAGACAATTAAGCTGATTACACTGAAAGCACTTTATTTAGCAAGAAGCCCCGCAGAGTTAGATTGATCTAGCTAGTATGGTGGGTTTATGGGAATGCAGTCTACCACTCCTCTGGCCACTGTCTGTCAATGGGGAATGGACTGCACTAAAACTAGAAGCATGCAAGATGCACAGGAGTAAAACAGTATGTTGCAAATTTAAATCTAGCAGTTATACAATGGCAATTGGTTTATATCCTCATGTCAGCAAAGTAAAGTACAGACTTCTATAATGGCTTGTACACTGATTTTAGACTAGTAAAGGAGTTTAAATTTTCAAAGCCATTAATTCATATGATAAGAGTGTTAGATATTTGTTATATATATATATTAACATTTCGAAACTGTTTTTTCAATCACGTTGTTAAACTTCTAGGCGGTGTTGGTTCAACCTGCTACGGAGATGCAAACTGTCAAATGATTGGTCCGAATGCACGTTGCGTAGATGGTGCATGCGCCAATGGTGAGTATTCATTAAATTACTCATTAACTACTTTTTTGGACTTTTTTTGTTTCTTTTTATCATCTGACAAAAGTGCTCATTTTTATTTTGAATTACTTTTTTGAGTTCTCAACATTTATACATGTTTTGTCTTTTCAAAACAATCATGTAAATCTTCCATTTTTTTGTCAGTCAATTAAACTGAGTTTTTAATAATTGTCACTTTTTGTCTGTTGTCACTAGAAAAAAAAAACACACCACTTTTCTTGTATTTAAAAAAATTAATTATGTAATTAATATCCAAGAGTGGATAAATTTAAATTCTGAAACATGATATTTTCTTATTGTATTCTAATTTAATTTTACATCATAAATTCATAATGATATAAATATCCTGATGCATATGACATCAAACAGCATCCAATGTCCTTTTTTAAGGTTCTATAATAATCATTCTTTATTTTTATTTCATTTACAGCTGTCTCTGCTATTGCTGCTGGGGTGATGTCCCTCCTCCTCCCAATTGTGCTAGCTGTCACAACCAAGTACAACTAACACATTCAGGCTAAACCTTCAACTGTACATACTGAGAAAGTGAGCTTTCTCTAAACAAAGAAGTCTTCGTGCCTTGCTCTCTTAGGCATTTGTGTTGTATCAGACTAACAGCTTTAAGGTATTCTATACATATCTGAAATGACCCAAATTCATATTTTTATTTTTTTTTATAAATGTACAAATTAAGCTACCTCTCCCACATCATTCAGACCTTAAAAATGATAAAACTCAAATAAAATTACAAAGTGTTGATATTTACTGTACTTCTGAAATGTCAAGAAGACATGGCAGTCTAAATCATGAATCATGATTCCTTTAGAACTTAGTTATTCAATTAGTAAGGGTACAAATAATTGGATCTCAGTGCAGAAATGGACTGCAGAATGGTTTTTTGTGAGGAGAAAAATTTTTTTTTTTTTAGAGACGAGTCAGATTTGGCATGAAATCATCAAATCCAACATAGAATACCTTTAAGTTTCTTGTTATTTGGTTGAAACAAAACAAATGAAACTTACTCAAACTTTAGGTGGTTGCCTTATATTGCAGTGGTTATGCACCATTTTTCTTTAGAACTTTGACTGCTTGAAACATTTCTATCATTTGAATAATGGTTTACACCCTTCAGACGATCAGAAAAATTAGAAAGCACTTACGTAGATGCAAGTGGAAAAAGTCCACAAGTTTGTTTCACCGTAAACCCAAAGCTTTTGTTTTTGAATTACTTAAATTAGACAAAACTGCTGAAAATATACAACTATGCCATGATTACAGTAACCTGTTGTAAGATTTTACCATAATAACAATGAGCTTACTTTCAAAGAGTGCAAAATTGTAAATACATATATATATATATAAGTAAAAGTAATTTTCTTACAAGTTTGTGCCCTGTTCAGCTTTTTTTTTAATGAATGTTTTATATACCAGGGAAATATTAAGCTGACTGTGATAACATTGTTGTTCTTATTATATGTATGTTTAATACTTAATTTGTGTATTCTTCCCAATGAAATTGTGATTGGCTGTAACTTTAAACTATTTCAGTATATTGCAGTTCAAAATTTTTGTCATTTATTGTTTTTCAAATAACATATTATAAGACATCTAATCAAAGAGACTAAAATGCTGTTTAAGAAAATCAAAGTTTGTAAAGATAATCTTAATTTATAATTTCAAGTTCCAAACCACTTACTTGAGACAAAAATGTGTTATATCTCTATACATGGCAATATTTAGTAAATTTCAGTTTAAGCTATGTTATAATAAATATCTGTTTGTAAGAAATGGGATGATATATTGTTTTATCTGTTTATATTACATATTCAACCTGGAAAGTCACTCAGAGAGCGCAGATTTCCTCCAAGGTTTTTATTTCTCAAAAAAGTACCAGTGGTGTGCTCAAACAACATATGTTGCATGTGCCTTTTTATATATATAAAAAGGCACATGCAACATAAAAGTATTTTTTTAAGGAAACTTTCTCTGTAATTACCCTTTTAATCCAATGTAATTATTACAACTTACGTACAAGCTTTGATGCAGAGCATGCAGAGCATGTTCGTGATATGCAATGTCAGGTCACAGCATGGGATAAGGTGTGTGACAACGAGAAACTGGAAGGCAGCCAGGGTGATATAAAAGGATGAGTGCGAACAACCATTGGCAAAGTGCCCATCGTCAAAATTTTAAAATAATTTGCTATTATAAAGTTTATGCATATATTTGTTGCATGGAAAAATATTATTTGGTTTGAGGCATCGTAACTTAGTATTTTAATGAGTTATATGTGTGTGTGGGGAGGGGGGGGGTAGCCGGATTTACCTGTTGTATGCAGAGTAATGAATCAGAGCAACTTGTTTCAGCATTTATATTACATAAACAATGTTTTTCTAATGAAACTTGTCTTGTGATGTAAAAAAGAGTTATATGTTAAATAATTGTGGTGTGGCACAAGTAAATGGGAAAGCAATTATTGTTTTTTTTAATCCTAGAGAAGAGAGGGAGGGGTGGTATATTACGGTATTTTCTCACAGAAGCCATCACTGATTTCACTTAACTGTATAAAAGTCTTGTTACTAGAAAAACTCAGCGTATTTATTAATTTTATATAACTTTTCTCACAGACCAGCATTTGTTGGTCTAAATAATTGTATTTTTATATTGGCTAGCTTGCTTTATCTGGTAAACTTCTGGTAATTATTATAGGCTGGTGGTCTCTTGTATGGACTATTTACCAAGTCAATAGGTTTTCACTGATTTCCTTGACAAATAAAGCCATTCATAGCATTTTGGTAAAAAAAAAAGAAGAAAAAAAACCCTCTGCAAAGCTGTTATGAATAGTGCTGGTGTGGAAGATTAGGTCATAAGTAACAAAACTAGGGTGTGTGTGATGGAGCCTTTTGTTTTACTTTTTATGCAAAATAGACATGAAAGAGGACATTTACACAACTATTTTCATGCCCATTATGGGGGTTGAGTCAAGCCACCCCTATGTGTAGAGGTCTATTACAGCATGCATGGGTCTCTATATTAAGTAGGAGCCACCACAATGTACATCTGCTTTTATGAAAATTAATATAACTTTGAATATCTGAAGCACATTTTACATCTAATCTTTCTTTATCCTAAGAAATAAGAATGAAAGTAAGATATACTTACTGTATTTGGACTCTATTTCCTATCCATATTTCCTTTTTTTTTTTTTTTTGATGATAGCATGCATTACATATATGAAAATGATTTTTCTTTTTTTGGTTGTAATTGAAAATATTTAACTGATTCTAACCCCTATTTTCCTTTCAAAGACCTACATTTTATTTTGGGTTGTTCTTTTTGTACAAAAGTTTCACTGTATCTGCCTAACCATCCTATGTAAGCATGTAGCAGCTACCTCATGGCAGGAATAAACATGGCCGCCTGCTAGCATATGGACTGAAAATGTCCCTATTTAGTTTGAGTACATATCAAGCCCAACCCTCAGACAAGCTGATTTTCACATATGTCTCACCTTATATTCATGTCTTTTCAACCGTGAATAATCAGCTTGTCTGAGGCAGGGGCTCATATAAAAAATGAACATCTTTTACCCTCAAGTCACTGTAAGATTCTTCTTTCAATCAGCACTACGTGTACAAATAAGGTAAACAAAATATTGATCACAAGCAATGATTGGCCACATATTGCCTTACTTTTTTACATGGGCACCTTCTGTACCCAATTACAAAATTTCACAGTTGTCACCTTACTATAACTAAAGATATGTAGCATTGCAATTCAGACCCCCCCTAAAACACACATTTTCATGAATATATGACAAGGTCATTTTGACATTAATTTTCTATATTTCAAATTCAATAAAATTTTTTTTTTTTAAGTGGATCATAAAAGTGTAAGACCCCAACTTTAATTTGGCATCAATTTTTTTCCATTCATTCACAATTTATTTTTCATGTACAAAAGTGGGCACTTTTACCCCCTTATTCGCACTCATCCTTTACCCCTTCTTGCTTTGTCATGTCTGCTATAAAATGCTTTCAAGGGGAGTCACACAAGTGACAAGCTATTTTTTGGCAATGGCACTACACTGCTCTCATAACACTTTAACAATGCCACCAGTCCTACCACTATTCCCAAGAGGGTAGGGGAATGGGGTTGGGTGGGGGGTAGGGGGGGGAGTAGGGGGGTGGGGGAGGCAAGAATGGAGCATATAGTGTGTGACCGGGCGTATATGCAGCTACTTGAAATAACTTGACCTTCCAATAGGGACTAGATACAGTGGCGGGGCTTGGTCTGGGATGGGGCGGAGATGGGTTTAAAGAGTTCTCCAAATTTGTGCACTTCGCTCACATATGTACTGGTAAGTTACCTAGTGCAGGAACAAATACAAGTACGTCTTTTCTTACCTTGATGTAAAGGAACAAACGTCTTCCCCTATCTCTTGGCTGGGTCGATTGTCATCATAATAATCCCAAACTCCTCTCTATCTGCTGGGTAAGCCTTATCTATTCGAAAAAATCAATAATTGCATCTGCGCTCGAGTTACCATGGGCGCTGCCATTTTGTTTGCCCACAATGCACTAGTATACAAGACAGTCCAAAACAAACAAACAAACAAACAAACACACACACACACACACACACACACACACACACGGTAAAAACGTATATGACAGTATTAATGACTATGCTGAGAAGAAATAATAGAAAAATTTTGAATTTTCATTTTTTGTTTCACGATGATTTGCAACTTCCCTAACGAAAAAGTCTTATGGACGTGGAATTCTGCCCCACACATAGGCCTAATTTGTCGCATATAGGCCTACTTAGGCCTGCATTTTTATGGATGCGGCATTTCAAGAGAAAAAAAAATTAAAATGATATAATTGTTTTGGCCTTAATGAAACACAACGTTGCCTTTAAAACATGCAACAGAGTCTAAGAACAGTGTCACATCTTTTGAATTAATTTTTGTGTGAAGCGGCATCATTAATGTAGTAGTAGCAGCAGCAACAAAATCTGTAGTTGTAGTAGGCCTAATAAAGAATATTAAAATAAGGTCTTAAGTCCGGAATGCACCCTATGTAAGAGGGTGAGGCGGGTGAGATGTGAGGGAGTGAGGGAGATGATATTAATAACATAGCTGGGAAAAATCACCTGGGCATCATTTGCTATCTCAACCCAATGGCACCATGAAATCTGCATAAATAAATAAATAAATAAATAAATAAATAAAAGGAAATATGCATTCACTTGAAGAGGGGAGTCTTTCGTGGGTGGAATTAAATTTGACATATGCTACCTTCGAGGAATAATATAAATCTAAATTAACTTCAGATATGATATTTTTGACAACGTTATCTTTTCTAAAATAGTTATTCATAAACTAGAACATGCCCTGAATATTTCAATAGCTAGTAAGGAGAACGGAATGCAAGCCCTCGCCCATGGCTGTTAGACTGTCTATTTGAAAGATTTAAAAAAATTGGGTTGCAGGGACGGGCTTTAAGTATTTATAGATAGGCCTACAACTCAACCGACAACTATGCCTCAGCTCTAAAATGAATATATCCCATGGAAATATGTTCAAAATAAACAAAAACACGTCAACAACAGGTGAAATTCTATAATACGACTGTCTTTAGACGCGCTCACTTTCTTTGTCGTGCAGTCACGAAAAAATGAGTCACCATCAACGAGAAAGCCTGAGTAACAATAGATAGGATCAAGATTTGAGTGAATCAATAACTCGACTCGCTGACGTCACGACGCTATACACTTTATATATAGCACCTTGTTTTGTGAGTCGACTTGACTAGGGTTGAAGGTTTAAATCAGGTAGCACAACGCAGGTAGAAAGGGGTCCCCGGTTTCCGCGGTATATGCATATTCTATCATAATAATTGTGACTAAAAGGAAGGAAAGTTCGGAAAAACACCATCGCTTGCAACAGATTAAGACGCAACAAGATGAATAAGATTCAGCTTATGATCGGCTTGGGAGCCGTTATGGTCATGTGTGGAATGACCAACGTGGATGGTCAACCAGGTCGCGGACGAACGAAAGCGCCGGCCTGGTTGGAACGACTCGACACCCGCCAGCAGAATGCCCGTCGTATGTTCAAGGAAAAAGTTAATAACAGGACATTCAACACTACAGAAGGAAGTCTGCGGGTAAAGCAACACGATTTTTCTTTGAATTTTCTTACTTTCTTCCTTCATCGCCATCCTCATCCTCATCATAATATTTTTACAACAGGCATTCCAAAAAGGCAGCAGTGTGAAACTAACGAAAATGAGAGTTGAATTTTAAGTTGTAGGCACAGCAAAGCGGCATGCTGATAGACATTCTGTGGCAACATTAATAAATAATATCCTATTTTTTTTTCATACTTTAGGCTTCTCGCTGGGGAAATTTCACCATCAGCAAGTCGAAGAAAAACATCGACAACGACCGCAACAGCACTACGTTTTCGGTTTGCCAAATGGCAGAGAAAACCCGCTCGAACAGAGGACTAGGTAGAAAACTGGGATGGGAATTGGGAAGGAGAGGAGGGCCATCTGCGAATTTCAACTCCACGATGCAGATGATGTACAACATGTCTCAACCCGAGCCCACAGTGTATGGGGGCCTGAAAGCCTGGGCATTCGACATGGAAACCAGCCTCCCCAGTGGCGCCAACATCACCGTGAGTATTTTGATGAAAAAACATCTGCGTTTTCTTTTGAAGATGTTATTTTATTCTTATACTTTTGGTTATGTTATACGCTTGAACTTGTCAATTTCAACACTTGGGGTCCCATACCAAGATCGATCTAATAGGCCTACTTCTACGTATTTGCTTCAGGAGGTCACGCTTCTCTTTATATTTTCCTTTCAACAAATACGTACCTAGCTAAAGTTGTTATTTTATCGTCGTTGTCGCTTGGTGTCTTACTGTATATGTTTTCTCTTAATATGAATAGTGAAGGCTGCCTTCTGAAACCCAGGGCATGAAGCGCACATGGACACCGCAACGTGATTCTCTAGACAATACAAAGCAACGCGTATTTCTCAAATTGAAATCAACATAGTCTATATAAATTAAATATATATCACAGTAGATCGTGCTTAAGTTCGGGGAAGATTTCATTTATACACGCTGTGAATTTAAATGTTTTTATCACCCGCAGCGACTTCAGGTTACACCTTAAAAATAAAAACGTTATGACAGGTACTCTTAGTTGTCATAACAGAAAATACATATCAGTAAATATGGATTGAACAAAAAATATATTAACATAACAGCTATATGGATCTGTAGAGCCCATCGAGTCCTGGTGTAACAGGAACGGAAGTCCTAGGAATGGAAGTCCTGGGTTTATTATGATTAGTTCAAGTCAGGATTAGTCAGAATATTGGGGTTAGCATGTGGGACTAATGTCACCTGTGTAGAAATGATGAGGAGCGGACTACTGTTCGGTATTTACGGACTATTCTCGTTGTATTCTGTCCACATGTCATCTTTTATCTCGTTTTCATTGGTTTTAACCCAAAGTGTTGCGTTCCTTTAGTATTTCGGAAAGCAAACCGCTTGGTTGCACCCCACCACAGACGGAAACTGTGTACCTACTCTCTTTTAAGACGTGCTTCAGATAACAGATTGATAAGTTAGGTTAAGTCGGAAACATGGAATTAAAAAGAAAATTTTTGTTCAAATTTGTGGGAACAAAACCCCTTTCGCTAAGAAAATAATCCTGAAAACTGGTCTAAACATTTCAGAACCAAAACTGTGGTCTTCGTGTACTTAAAATACAAGATAAATTAAAATATTTCTTTCAAGGTTAATATATATTCACGTCTCTCTTAAAACTCAACAGGTGCAATGTTTCACTTAATTTATTAGACCAGTGTTTCTTTATCTTGGGTCAAATTAGAATAATTTTCAGATATTTTTTAAGGGCCTCAACACTAACATTTGCTCTATGGTGAAATGATGAAATTTGCTTTGGTTGTTTTTGTTTTTCACGTATCTGCGTGATAACGTTAACGAGCGCTGCAGGATACATTTAACAGCTCATCAACTTCTCTCTCTTTAATAATTCCTCAGTTATAATCTCTCCCAGATTCTCCACACGACCTTGCGTGTCTCTCCCATTATGAAACAATATCCATACCTTTGTTGCGGTTGTCACGTAATAAGTCTCATCACCCTGCAACTCAGAGTTTACTGGGAACCGGCCGCCTTAACACTGACATGGCATTTACGGTATATGTCAGGAGCGGATTTAGGCCGTCTTCTGGGTCTTCTGGAAAACGGTCAGATTTTCAAGTTTACATTGACGGGTATTTAATTTTTCCTGTCGGAAGATGGTCAAAAACGGAGGATGGATCAATAAAGATAATTTGGAAGCCTGTCAGAAAATATGTATGGATACGCCCCTGTTACATGTATAATGCTTTCTCTTAGTATGAATATTGGAGGTTGCAGTCTGAAACCCAGGGTGTCGAGCGCACATGGACAACGCAACGTGATTCTCCAGACGATACAAAGCAACGTGCATTTCTCAAATTGAAATCAACACAGTCTATACAAATTTAATGTATATCACAATAGATTGCGTTTAGCGGGGAATGCGGGGAATATTTCATTTATATACGCTGTGAATTTAAATGTTTTTATCACCCGCAGCGACTTCAGGGTACACCTTAAAAAATAAAAACGTTACGACAGGTGCTCTTAGTTGTCATAACAGAAGAGACATATCAGTAAATATAGCATGCTGTATTATTATTATTATCTCCATAACAGCAAGAGCGTGTACTGAGATGAGAAGAACCATTTGTCATGAATTCGATCCTAAATAATCCAAAAACCAGTGGATAATTAATGCCTGCTTGACGTCAGTGGTCCGCTTTATATAAGTAATAACAATCGATATTTTTAAAACACCACAGTGTCAACCCGCTGAGCGGGATATAAAATCTTCACAGAGCACCTAATTTGTCTGACTATATAATACCCCGCTTTCACTAAGACCGAGATTGTGAAAAGGCGTTTTCACACAAGGCATATGACTCGTCCCTTAAAGCAGTCAATCATCTTTTGAAGGGTGTGCTAAAAGACGCTCACCTGAGCGTTAATAATTTGTGTGCGGATAGGCATATGCTAAGGTCAACCCAGGGAGGTAAAAATTCCTAGGGTCAACGTACGATGGACTAGTGATGCAGAGGTCAGTGGGTGCTCTCTACCCTCTACCAGGGCCACAGCCCACACATTGTTTTGTTTTTTTTTCACTTTTAATATTCACAGATATGTCTGTGGCCTATTCATGACAATTTTTCTTCTCTCCAACCAAAGTATTGGTAAGACGTAGATTTCATTACTCAATAGGCCTCTTATACGGAGTAGATGGTCACCCTTATACAAAATTGTCGTATAGTTTAAGAGCCATTTTCAGGAAAATAATACTTTGAATCCCTCGCTTTAGAACATTTTTACATGCGACATGACAACTCCCCTTTCGTATCGAAATTAGTTTGCTTTCGACGGCATCGCCAAGAGCCATATGGATAAATTATAGCTCCTGCGTTTTCCATTAGTATTATTCCAGACTATAATAGTTATCATATTATTACTAATTTTAAAGCAGTCTTGAGGCTGACCGGTCCACTTTTTCTTTCCACACATATTTATGAGGAACGATTATCTCGAGTGCATCTTTTTATGAATGCATAAATTATGCTAGTTTTCATAACGGAAGCTCTGCTTAATATTAATCATCATCATCATAATGACATGGGTGTGAGTTAAGATGTGAAGATCAGGAACGCAATCTTAGATAAACCAAAAGCTCGTGTATTATTCACTGCATATTATATATTACAGTCATGATTTAATATCACAAAAAAGGTGTGGCTGCACTTAGCCGTAGGCCTATTCATTTCAAATAAGGTAAACAATGTTTGAAAAGACACATTATATTTATTATTTTTGATTGATCGTGCAAAAAAGTGAAAGTGTATTTCAGTCATGTTGTTTTAATAAAGTGAAAACAACAAAGATGATCATATAGATAAATGTGTAGTTATCTCTCTCTCTCTCTCTCTCTCTCTCTCTCTCTCTATATATATATATATATATATATATATATATATATATATATATGGCGTCTTATCCCTCACTCAGAAAGCAGACTGTTTGCTTAACAAAGGAAATAAAGGCGGAGAAAATAGTTCTTTCCTTGGCCGCTGTCAATGAAATTGATTTTACCGTGTACACGTACGCAATAAATCTTCCTTTCAAAGATGGTCACCTGTGCGTTGTTGACTTGGCAATGGGTAATTTGATACGAGGTCACCGAAGTTGGGTGGACATCAACTTATTAATGGACAACAGCTGAAATACGACCAGTCCTATTCAAAAAAGAATCCGTGGAATCCCTTGCATTAAATTGCGCGTTAAATTTCGCCGTTTTCGTTTCGAAACTATTTCGGTTTTGTTGTCTTCATCGAATGTCGTAGGTATAATTATGGTGTCCTATCCTTCCTTATGAGTATCATATGTAGGTACATATAGGCTTCTGTTGCCTTGTCCATTCTTGTGAGGCTGACCGGTATTTTCTCTCTGTCGTCTTCATGTATTTTCCTTGTGTCTCCAAATAATCAAGGTGTTTTAGTTCCATAGAACGACCTGTGAACTTCGCTTGTCTAATGGGGATTTTTCAAAGATAAGCTGTTTTTTTGTATTCAGCTTCTTTCATAACTTTTGTTTCAACAAATTAAAATTATATTTGCTTCATTTGCACATTTTGCTTTATTTTAACTTCGTTTTATTTTGATCTTATTCTCGTATACTTTCACAGGTGAGCGTGTACAGGTTTAACGAAACTGGGAACTTCACAGACGAGGACGGCGTGGTCACGCCCATCACCCGGGGTGACGTCAAATTCAATATGGAGCTCAGTGGGTAAATGGACACCACTACCTTTAATATTACTTCTCCCAGGGCCACAGATCTATTTTTCAGTAGATATTCACAAATATTTCTCTAACTGCGTCGGAGCAAAGTGCACACTCAGGGTGGTTTAAAAGATGTTTCTTTTCTTGATAGAGTGGCATTTTTTTATCGAAAGGAAAGATCTCGTTAAAGCCATCTTTCATCAGCTGTATTATGCATTCAAATTACAATGATAGAAACAATGGAAGCCCCCTCCCCCCTCCCCCAGGACATATTTCTAAAGTTTTTGCTTAAGTATGATAGAGAGGTTGTAATGGGTGTTTCATACTTCAGATGGAATCCATAATAACACGTATAGCCTCGTTCACGAAAAAAAGGGTGTCCTGTGAGACACCGACATACTGGACTACAAATGTCATCGAATTTGGCTGTGTCATTAAATATATTTTCTTCATAGTCGCAAGAAAAATAGTTAATTTTTACTCTCTACCTCCACAAAATAATTCACGTTTTTTTATTCTGTATTTCAGGTTTGAGCTGTGTAATGGTAATGATACAGCGTGTAACGACACTACGGAGTTTCTTGACGTCGACTTCTGCGTAGGAAGCCGTGAGGAACCAAAAGCAAGGAGGGGCTCCCCAAAGAACGCTGTAGGCCGCGTGAAAGATATAGTGCTTGGAAAAAGTAACATCACAATGGAGGACAAGGTGAGCCGAGGATGTTTTTTTAATAATAATAATAATAATAATAATAATAATAATAATAACTGAATGAATGAAACTGACATTTAGTTTTGTATTTTACAATTCAAACTAGCCTATATTTCTTCTAGGCATACATAGATGGCGCCAAACACGCCATGGCGGAGGGATATCCGAAGATCGTAAGAGTGGGAAACAAGTGGGCGATAAGGGTCCGTTTCCCTCGTTTTAACAGCACCGTGCTCTACGATCCCATCATAAGCCAAGGAGAAGCAGATGAAGTGGCCTCTTTAATTTCTGGAGGAAGACAAGTCGCCCTCAGTTCAATTCTTGTCTGCCTGTGCGCCGCCTTTTTATCGTCTGCCATGTTTTTGATGAAATGGTAATTGGTTCTCTAAAATCATTCATTTTTTAATCTCATGTGAAATGTAAGTTAAGTATATCAAACAATTAATGACTTATCTCAGTTCGAAAATCTTTGGAGATTTGTTCAGATTGAAAGAGTAACCTACGAACAGTGGATGTGCATAGGGCCTATATATTTTTTTAAGTAGAATATAAAATGGATTTTCCCTTGAGGTTGATCGTTAGGCAATTTTCTTATAATGAAAGAATTTTTTTGCATGAAGAAATGTGTGAGTAGATTAAATATATATTATAAAATGAGGGAGGGGGTTAATATGAGAAAGCTTTGGCAAAGGACAAGTGAATCCTGTATATAGCAAGTAGGCCTATATCCTGTATAACCCACACAAATCAATGGAAAACTGACGTTTTTTACCAGTTCAATATTTTGTAATGTTTTAATATTAAATGTTGTAATCATTTTATAATAATCGGTTTATAAAGGAAAAGTATAGGAATATATAACACCCTGTCTATTATTGAAATGTGTCTATAAATCAATAGGGAATAAGACATTTATCGCATTGTCACAACATTCAAATTACATTTATAACAGCCTTGGTTTTTCTGGTCATGAAAAACTGCCAAAGTTCATGAAGTAAATGTTGTGAGAAAGTGGGAAAAGCACCAATTAACGCTTATGTAAAAAGGGAGCTTATCGTAAATGACTCGAGAGCAATGTCGTTGAAACCATAGACATTGCACCGATATTGTGAAAACAGTCAAATGGCCTATCAAACGACATACCTTTAGGAATTCTCATCGCAGATTAACTTTTTACTTATCACGTTCTCAGGGTAGTTGGGTAGGCCTGGTTCTGACTCTTGCATAAACATTTATTTGAATAGAAGCAAGGCTTTTTAGTTTGCAAATCCCTGCAGAAGTTATCATTTTGTTTTATACACAAGTTTTTGTTTACATATTTGTTATTTTATCATAAAGTGATGGACTACATATTTATACAAGACTAAGGAATGTTTGGTAGTAATGTTACATGTACAAGCGAAATGAAAGATATATAATTATTTTTTGAAGTTGAGCTTATAATTCCCAAAATAATAAATGACTTTCTTACTTTCCTGTATCTACGTGGGTACTAAATATTGTAATTTGTAGAAATATGTCTGAGTCGTTAATGTGTGCAGTTGAAATTCATATTCTGTATAGGAAATCAATAGGGTTAGATTATTTATAGCATATGCCAAGGAAGAGCTGGTTGGATGACACATTTTTCTATTTTTCGTTGAAAAAATAACTCACTGAACTTTTTTTTTTAAAAATTACCATATACCAACCACTTCATTAATTTTTCATTGGGATATTCCAGACTTTGTTATTCGTAATCAAGAACATATAATAGGTACAAACGTCTGTCACCTGTTCCGCCCTTTCGGCACTATGACCGATGCTTTTTAAGTGTGACATAGTATATAGTCGCCTGTGTTTTATATCGTTTTTTGTTTACTTGATATTTTTTTTGTAAATAAAAAAGAATTATCTGGGAGTGTCCGTTTGTTCCTCATTTTATCTGATCGCATTTCGAAAAAAGGAATGATTGACGAGAAATGTTTCGATTTTTGCTTAGTGCATAGAAAAGAAAATGCCGTCAAGTTGGACGTTTTGAACCTATGCAAATCTGATTCAAAGATCAGATTGGTTCTAATATCTACATTTCTTTACTTAAGGGTCAGCACGCGTCTACACAAACACACACACTCACACACAACGTTTGGTATACGGATTTTGCCATTTCAAAATTATGAGTATTTATGGATAATTTATGGTGACTGTTGACCTTATAGCTGTGATAAATAACATTTCAAAGTTGCTCCTCACAAACGACAGTTGCCCGTTGCGACTTGGAGCCACGAATTAGTGATTGCGATCGCAGATTTAGTGACGACATGCTACATGCATAGCGACGTCCAGATTTGAGTGCTTTTCCCGTTTTTAATGTTCGGGATTCGAGCAAATAAAGTACACAATTAAGTCCGTATTGGAATTTGTAACAGATTTAGATGGAGTACAAGGAGAGCATTTTTGTGATGGAAATTGATCTTGAAAAGAAGGTGAATGGTTTTATTTATTTATTTATTTATTTATTTATTTATTTATTTAGTAATATATATCGCGGCCCGTCTGAATAAAGAAGAGCTATAAAACTATTTTCGAGATCGGGATTCGGGTAAATATACTAAAAAAACCCGGCCTGCTGATGCAAAGTCAAGGTCATGAACAAGGACTGTAATAGAATTTGTTAAAAGAGATTTTGAGGGGGCTCAAGGTGTGCATTATATTGATGGAAATTGGTCGTGCCATTCTAAAAGTTAGGTGGCCTTTTTTCACTTATTTATTTATTTATTTTTTACAATTCTAATTGAAAAAGACTAAGGCATTCCTTTTAAGATGGTTTTTGTATCTTTTTATGTAATGACACTAGAATTCATTGAGATTTGGACGACGATTCCTCTTGACTTTAGGTAATGTAACGCCTTGATTAAAATACCGAAGACAAAAGATTGCTAGTCACGAGTTGGTTAGACATATATCAAGCTGACAAAACCGTGGCCAGCGATTAGCATGTTAAGGGATAAGCTATCTTCACATCTATATGCTGATTGAATTGTGATAAATATAGAGCACATTCTTGGTAGACAGTAATAAAGGGCTATCTCCGAACTGCAATTAGCATTAACAAAATGTTTCCTGGACTGGAAAATATGATAAAAATACCAAACAAAATCTACATAGTTTTTGTTTTATTCTTCATGCAACCAGACTCATTAAATGTTCACGGCTTAATGGCCACACTTAAATTAAGCAACATTACTGTGAGTATATTTCGTCCACTATTTTACTGGATAAAGATGTCGATCCTTTTAGAATTAAAGGGATAGTGACTGCTCGTTTTGGTAAAAAATATACTTACTTGGAGTAAATAACCATTTTACCACACTTACCGATGGTTGATATGAATCAATTCCGACATTCAAAGTTAGTCCATGCACATTTTTTTTCTAAAAAAGTTTGTTTTTAAATAATAAACTCTTGAGAGAATATCACGGAGGAATAACCACCTGTGAAGGTGCATGTCGCCCGCATGACAGTTCCTGAAACAATTTACCAGAAAAATATTTTATTTCATTTTTGCCACTTTTAATTAATTTTTTTATTATTGTGGGTAATGGTTTAATAATTTATTGATTCGTGCTTATAACAGTAAGAATGATTTTCCTCAGTGTTGATCACCGACATTACAGGGATAACAACTGTTAGTATGAGATTCACATTCACAATAAATACAACTCGTTAACAACTCATACAATTATAATAAATTCCATTTTACCCCCAAACAATTACAATTATTCTGTAATCTCTGCTTACAATTGTCATGCGGACGCCCTTGGAAATATATCTCGGAGCCCGTCTTAATACACTGTACCTGTAAAATTGTTTCGAGTAAATATACTGAAGTACACCGACTTGCTAATACAATGTTTCTACGATGAACTAAGAACGAAATGGAATTTGTTAAAAACAATTTTGAGGGAGCTCAAGATGTGCATTATATTGATGGAAATTGATCGTACTTTTTTAAAAGTGAGATGACTGTTTTTTCATTTATTTATTTATTCATTACAATTCTAATTGGAATTCCCTTTAAGGTGGTATCGCTGTCTTTTTTTAATCAATGACACTAGAATTCATTGAGATTTGGACGATGGTTCCTCTTGATATTAGGTAATGTAACGCTTTGATTAAGATACCGAAGACAAAAGATTGCTAGTCACGAGTTAATCAGACATATATCAAGCGGTTTATTACTTACATTACCATGTTCAAGGAGCATAATGCAAAATGATAAGGAGCCTTCATACACGTATCTAGATGCAGATTGATTCGTGATGAACATAGAGCTTAGTTTTGGAAATAATTAAGGGCAATTTCCAAACTGCAATTAGCATAATTATTAAAAGTCCTGGATCCCCTGTCCATTTACTGTAAGTATGCATACGTTGTAGCCAATCAAATAAAGGGAAACTTACTAGTCGGGAGAGCCGTGCCAGCGGTTTGCTACTTAAACGAGCACTACTCTGCTCAGACGTACAGGAAACGTTTAACGACTCGCAGAGAAAAAGACGTAAAAATTACTCTAGCTGTTTACTCGCCAGGGGAGGTAAGTGCAGGTAAATACAAGAGTATTTTGACAAATCACCAGATTACACGTACTGTAGAAAGATATGAATTTACCAAAACAGTGATATCTTTAGTACCGTTTAGTTTTCGATTTGTTGATGGACTTTTTTACACGCAACGTAAGTAATTATTTTTTTATTTCTTTTTATTATTGTCAGATCAGAATTCTACGGTGAGACATAGCTATGACAACTATTCCATCCTTTGTAGGTAAGTTCAGCGGGGTAGCAAAGAGTTATTCGTTCTACAATCCATCATTACTCGTACATAATTCCATATAGAGAGGTGTGAACTATTGACAACCATATTAATTGTGTCTTGAAATGGTGAGACTGTAATGAAAAGTTTTGTTTCTACAAGGACCATTATATCAATCAGTAGTTCATGTTTTGTTGAGTGAGCTTTTTTCGTGAGCTTTCTTTCTTATAGGGTCGACTTTGATCTGACTTTTCCCCCTTTAGCAAGTTGCAGATGTTAATTGTGAAAACCGAAAGTAATCTATTGTCACGTAAATAGAATATGTGCAGCACTTGGTTTTTGGTATCCTAAACCGTTGTATTTTTATCTAAATATAACTAAGGGACCATTCCCATAACCTTATCGTACTAGCTGGATCGATCTAACTCCTCGGGGATTCTTGCTAGATTGCATTCAGGTTAAGCTGCTTAAATGTCTGGCACGTCCCCTCGAAACTAAGACCCCATTTCCAGAGATTAGATCGATCTACTTTAGATCGACCTACTTACCTGGGGGCTCACGCTAAATAGCTGTCAGCCGAGAGGACACGAAAGTTAATTACCCCCTTACAGCCTGTAGTAGGCGGGACGGACATTTAAGCCAGATTATCTGACAGTAATCTTGTGAGAATCCCCGCGGGGATAGATCGATCTAAAAGCTCGTGGAATACAGCCTAAAGTACTTTGGTACATCGGAAAAACTTTTTGGGTCCACGATGTTTTGATGTTTTTCATATTGCTCTGTGAGGGGGGGGGGGGGGGGTCTGCGCCTTGGCAGAGATCGATTCTGCAAGTACGATAAGGTTATGGAAACGCAGTCCAATATTGCAAATGCAATTTTCAAAAAAGGGACATGTTGAACCGTGCAGATAACTGGAACCAAACCATGGGATTTATTGGACAGTTTCTTTATCTTTCCAGGGTTTATAGGCGATACCAGTACAAGCCTATTCAGTGCTTGTTCGAGTACGGAAACGGTTGCAAGTGGAAATGCGCCATTGTCTTGTGGAGATAGCACACGATGTGTTACGAACCCAGTGTTTTCGTTCATAACCGGCTCCAGTCAGACCTGTCTCTGTCCGCTTACGTCCTATCCCCTGGCGAATGGAACGTGCCAGAGCAGTGAGTGTTCATTTTTGTCGTGATTTTGAGTCGTAAGGTACAATTCTATCTAATTTTGTGTGAAATGTACCATTATTCAGGGGCGGATCCAGTATTATTCGAAGGGGGGGGGGGGGGGGCGCGGATACTAGCAAAGGGTTCGAGGCCTGCTGAAGGGTCCCGGAAATTTTTGGCATTTCAGAGGCGATCGGTACCATTCGGTACGGTTTAGACCTATGATTCAGCTAGTCAAAATTCTAATTTCAGGTGGGGAATATTGAGGTGATTTTTTTCAAAAATCCACCCCTGATTATTCTCATCACGAGTGTGACTCAACGTAAAGAAACTAAGAACTTTAAAATACATGTAGGTTGTAGGTAATAGGTTAAGGCAATGTAGACCTTGGTGTTTTAAGACGAGTTTACCCGATATCTATTTACTACGTAAAGCCTAGGTCCCAACCGAACGTACGGGCTACTACGTGTGGTTTACGGCCCAAAAAAATGGGGAAAACGTGGGAGTTCGTGCGCGAGAAGCATGTCCATCGTGCGACTTTTGGAGGACGCAAACAGCACGTAGAAACTTTTCACCAATTACTTGATTCCTTCTTTGCGATCTAGCTACGTCCTATCCGGACGCAAGGAACCTAAAAAATAAGGTGTACCGCACATTGTATGTATTCTATACTAGAGACCAACTGAGTGATGAAATTAATTCCATACCAATTAAATATGAAGAAGTGAAAATTTTTGACAACCGTAATGTGCCTTAAATGGTGCGACTGAAATAAAAAGTTTTCTTTCTACAGCGACCATTCAATCAATAAGTAGTTCATCTTTTGTTAAGTGAGCTTTTTTCTTGTGAAAAATCAAGCTGTGGCCCTGGTAGAGGGTACATTGTACGTTTTTTAATTACGTTTGCTTGGTCGTGTCGTCTACACTGGAACGCCATTGAGTTGAAACCCTGTATTAAACAAGTCTTAATTCGGTCCTCAAACGAACATAAATAAAAGATTATCTTATCGCGACTATTCAAATAAGATTCCGGGTATGCATACGTTATTCTGTATGCTAATTTTATGCCTTGAATCAATTTCGACATAATTAAGATTTAGCGACAAAGAAAACGGGTCGCGTCGGGAAGAAAAACGGTGATCGGGAGATCTATTTTACTGTCAAAAAGTTCGCTTTTCTGTAAAATGTTAACACTGCCGCTTCTTTTCTGCATTCCACATTTTTCTTTTTTCATGCTTTTATTGCATCTCTGCGTATTAGTTAATCATTTTAAAGACTATGAAAAACATGGCATTGTCATGGCGTTCATTCTTCTCTGCACATTAACAAAACTTTGCGGAGTTTTACAGGTTTGCATATCTTTGTAGTTTCCGGTTCGACCTGCCAGGCGGACTTAGACTGCAATACGAAGACATTTGACTGCGTTGGAATAAACGGGATGGGAATGGACACTGCCTTATTGGACTTCCTGACGGTAGGACAGCGGAGTTACAAACACAATGTACACAATTCTCTCTCTCTCTCTCTCTCTCTCTCTCTCACGCACACACACACGTGGACATACATAATCGAACAGCACCTAGCTATTTGTACAATTAAAACAAGACTACGTTTTATTTTGCCTTGTAAGGTGCGCGTGAAGAGTATTACGCGCTTCTTAGGTGACCACAAACATCACCTTTTTTACATTAATGTAGAGATAGATGTTGATCTCTTTGTAACGTACTGGATAATAATAATAGTTCACTTTAGTCCGCAGAAAATTGTTCGAATTATGAGTCTTTATCCTTTACAATTNGTAGTCAGTGTGTTGTATCTTATCTTGCAGTCAGCGAACCCCTTGAAGCAGTTGTAGAAGACCTTGGAACCCGATTAATGGCGTCTCTATCTAGGAAAAAGAGAAGCGAAACCGAAAGTGCTGTCGGCTCGGAGTTCTCGTCCGTTGATGACACCAAATCGAGGCAAAAACGTGCACCGGCAACTGTTGCATGCTCACCCAATCTCCTTGTATGGGCTAATGTATTATCCTTTATCGTGGGAAGCCAGACAAGTCCGTTCCAGTTTAACTGTGGACTTCCACCATAAAAAGTTTGAAAAGCCCAAATTGATGGCCGCCAGAACATCAAAGAAAGTAAAAAAATGCAGTAAAATCCAATCGAAGTTCAAGTCTATCGATTGGTCCAGCTTTTTTTATATGTTTGTCTTGCTGGCAGGAAAGTTAATATTTTATGTCACACTTGCAATCAGACAGGAAAATTTTAATTTTAAGTAAAATAAAACTGAATAAAAAAAGAAAAGAAAGCGCAGGCATTCTTGTCCCTGAGCTCGACTCTTCTTCTTAACTTTGTACCTTTTCGCTGATTTAAAAAAGTTCGTTATCCGGACCGTTTCAGGGTCTTGTGGTGTGGGTGTCTTTTACTTCTAGGGCCGTCACGTATCGTAGAACTCGACGCTGATCCAGGGTCGCAGTGTTGAAGACCTTGACGCTGAAAGAGACCCTTGACACCAAAACCCATCCAAAAGGTTGCAATAAGGACACAGCGAAAATGTGCAAATGAGGAAATGTGATTTTTATGTTAAGCCGCAAATAATGTTAACAAGACAAACAAAGGCGCGTGAATAATAAAAGATGGGTAATTTCTTAAGTAATTGTTCTATGTGTATGTAAAGTCTTCTGAACATGTAATTTTGGAATTTAGACTCAAAATAAATTTATTTTTACCTGTGCCAAGGAGGTTATGTTTTTACCCCTGCTTGTTTGTTTGTTTGTTTGTCTGTCTGTTTGTCAGCAACATAAATCAAAAAGATATGGGTGAATTTTGATGGTATTTTCAGTGTAGGTTAGAAATGGGTTAATTAAGAAGTGATTAGTTTTTGGCGGTGATCTGGATCAATGATCAATCAATAATCAAAAATAAAAAATAATAAAAAACTAAGTTATGGACCGATTTTGATGAAATATTACGGAACTGTCGGAAGTGGGCCTAGGAACAGATGATTAGTTTTTGGTGGTGATCCGGATCAATAATCAATCAATAATGTACAGTACATGCAATTTTAGTTTTAGCCATAATAATTGTGATTGGAAATGCAAAATAATTTTTTAACCAACACAAAAACCCAAAATAATTCCTTATCAGCAATATATGATGGAAAGAGACACGATTTTTTTGCATGTGCATGTGAAGTGTGTGTGCGTGCACGTGCATGTGAAGTGTGTGCACGTGCACGTGCTATAAAAGAAATGTTCCAGTACGCTCATTTTCTTTCGAAAATACAGAAAAATGATGAGCATTAACATTTTTAGTTATTATCAATGTTATTTCTATTACGAAATAAATCATTTAACATTCATTATTATTGTAATAAGACTGAACGTGAATTCCAAGGAAGTTTATAAAGGATATACAGTGATACCTTTAGCAAATAGATTTATAAATACTGATCAAAATTAAGTCATATTCTTGTTTAATTTGGCCTCGGCCTATGACCGCGGCAAGTAGATGGTACAAAATAAATGCAGGGGATTTATTTTGCGGTATGAAATCATTTTCAGAATGAACCAGTAGCAAGAAAACAGCTATAATTGTCATCATCATGTGCATGATATTGTTAAAAATTGGCCCTGCCTTTTAAAAGTGAGGTGGTTGTTTTTTTTCTTGACATTAGGTAATGTAACGCTTTGAATAAAATATCGAAGACAAAAGATTGCTAGTCACGAGTTGGTTAGACATATATCAAGCTGACAAAAGCGATTAGCATGTTAAGGGATAAGGAATATTCACATCTATATGCTGATTGAATTGTGATAAATATAGAGCACATTCTTGGTAGACAGTAATAAAGGACTATCTCCGAACTGCAATTAGCATTAACAAAATGTTTCCTGAACTGGAAAATATGATAAAAATACCAAACAAAATCTACATAGTTTTTGTTTTATTCTTCATGCAACCAGACTCATTAAATGTTCACGGCTTAATGGCCACACCTAAATTAAGCAACATTACTGTGAGTATATTTCGTCCACTATTTTACTGGATAAAGGTGTCGATCCTTTTAGAATTAAAGGGATAGTGACTGCTCGTTTTGGTAAAAAATATACTTACTTGGAGTAAATAACCATTTTACCACACTTACCGATGGTTAATATGAATCCATTCCGACATTCAAAGTTAGTCCATGCACATTTTTTTCTAAAAAAGTTTGTTTTTAAATAATAACCTCTTGAGAGAATATCACGGAGGAATAACCACCTGTGAAGGTGCATGTCGGCCGCATAACAGTTCCCGAAACAATTTACCAGAAAAATATTTTTATTTCTTTTTTGCCACTTTTAATTAATTTTTGTATTATTGTGGGTAATGGTTTAATAATTTATTGATTCATGCTTATAACAGTAAGAATGATTTTCCTCAGTGTTGATCACCGACATTACAGGGATAACAACTGTTAGTATGAGATTCACATTCACAATAAATACAACTCGTTAACAACTCATACAATTATAATAAATTCCATTTTACCACTAAACAATAACAATTATTCTGGAATCTGTGCTTACGATTGTCAAGCGTACGCCCTTGGAATACAAGAATATATCTCGGAGCCCGTCTTAATATACTGTACGGTATCTGTAAAATTGTTTTTGAGTAAATATACTGACAAACACTGACTTGCTGATACAATGTTTCTACGATGAACTAGGAACGACATGGAATTTGTTGAAAACAATTTTGAAGGAGCTCAAGATGTGCATTATATTGATGGAAATTGATCGTACTTTTCTAAAAGTGAGATGACTGTTTTTTTCATTTATTTATTTATTCATTACAATTCTAATTGAAATTCCTTTTAAGATGGTATCGGCGTCTTTTTAATCAATGACACTAGAATTCATTGAGATATGGACGATGGTTCCTCTTGACATAAAGTAATGTAACGCTTTGATTAAAATACCGAAGACAAAAGATTGCTAGTCACGGGTTAATCAGACATATATCAAGCGGTTTATTACTTACATTACCATGTTCAAGGAGCATAATGCAAAATGATAAGGAGCCTTGATACACGTATCTAGATGCAGATTGATTCGTGATGAACATAGAGCTTAGTTTTGGAAATAATTAAGGGCAATTTCCAAACTGCAATTAGCATAATTATCAAAAGCCCCGGATCCCCTGTTCATTTACTGTAAGTATGCATACGTTGTAGCCAATCAAATAAAGAGAAACTTACTAGTCGGGAGAGCCATGCCAGCGGTTTGCTACTTAAGCGAGCACTTCTCTGCTAAGACGTACAGGAAACGTTTAAAGACTCGAAGAGAAAAATACGTAAAAATTACTCTAGCTGTTTACTCGCTATCGGAGGTAATTGCAGGTAAATACAAGAGTATTTTGACAAATCACCAGATTACACGTACTGTAGAAAAACATGAATTTACCAAAACAGTGATGGCTGTAGTACCGTTTAGTTTTCGATTTGTTGATGGACTTTTTTTTACACGCAACGTAAGTTATTATTTTTTAAATTTCTTTTTATTATTGTCAGATCAGAATTCTACGGTGAGACATGGCTTTGACAACTTTTCCACCCTTTGTAGGTAAGTTCAGCGGGGTAGCAAAAAGTTATTCATTCTACAATCCATCATTACTCGTATATAATTCCATATAGAGAAGTGTGAACTATTGACAACCATATTGTGTCTTGAAATGGTGGGACTGTAATGAAAAGATTTGTTTCTACAACGACCATTAAATCAATCAGTAGTTCATGTTTTGTTGAGTGAGCTTTTTTTCGTGGAGACATCTTATAGGGTCGACTTTGATCTGACTTTATCTCTTGTAGCAAGTTGCAGATGTTAATTGTGAGAACCGACAGTAATCAATTGTCACGTAAATAGAATATGTGCAGCACTTGGTTTTTGGTATCCTAAACCGTTGTATTTTTATCTAAATATAACTAAGGGACCATTCCCATAACCTTATCGTACTAGCTGGATCGATCTAACTCCTCGGGGATTCTCGCTAGATTGCATTCAGTTTAAGCGGCTTTAATGTCTGGTACGTCCCCTCGAAACTTAGAGTAATTTGGTACAGTCGGGAAAACTTTTTGGTCCACGATGTTTTGATGTTTTTCATATTGCTTTGTGAGGGGGGTGGGTGTCTGCGCCTTGGCGAGAAACCCCGCTGAGATAGATCGATTCTGCTAGTACGATCAGGTTATGGAAACGCAGTCTAATATTGCAAATGCAATTTTCAAAAAAAAAAAAAGGACATGTTGAACCGTGCAGATAACTGGAACCAAGCCATGGGATTTATTGGACAGTATCATTATCTTTCCAGGGTTTATAGGCGATACCAGTACAAGCCTATTCAGTGCTTGTTCGAGTACGGAAACGGTTGCAAGTGGAAATGCGCCATTGTCTTGTGGAGATAACACACGATGTATTACGAACCCAGTGTTTTCGTTCAT